GTGACACTACTTTCATGTTAGAATTCTAACTCTAAAATGCCGAGAATCTGGAAATATTTCAGAAAATTTCGAATAAGAATGATGGATGAAGTGATTGAGGACATCGTATTCTGAAAGGAGAACATTCAAGAATCAAGCAGAAAAGTGATCCATTAACTGAAAGCAAACAAATTAAAAAACGTTTTGCATTTTGGGACGAGTTCAAATTTTAGAAATTGCATAAATTCTTTCAGTGCAATTATTTCTAAGTTTTAAATATTGCCGAGACTTACTGTTAACAGCATATTTTCTTATATCCTGCATATCATTTTTCATGTCATGTAAAAAAAGGTGTATCATTATCATGATTATTTTTATTTATAATTCTAATGATTTATTATTACAATAATTAGTTATTTAAACTATATGTTACTATAGTATTAATTCATATGGCCTACCATGACAATGCTTCTTACGAAATATTATTAAACTATAGCTTGACTAATGAAAGAAGAAAAGTAACAGTGAGTTTTAAATATTTATTGAAATTAATTAATGTGTTTTATTGACATGATTTAAAATAATTGATGGATATTTAATCTATTAAGTTTTAAATATAGATTTGAGTTTGTTAATTTGGGGGTTATTTGTGTTTGTTTTATATCAGTAAATTCAGTTGTAAACCCTCCGAAGTAAGGATATAAACAAAAATGGAAATAAAAGTGGCTGTTTCATGGAAAAACATAGTATCTATCGTTAATAGATACTGTATTTGTTACGGCTAACGGTGATGTTAGCCTGGTACAAGTCTAAAGTCATTGACATTCGTGAGTCCGTACCGCAAGGTTCAGTCTATTCTGGGGTTTCAATTCGTTTTCCCTTGCTTTGTACTATTAGACGTCTCGGCAACAAGTGAAGTGCTTTTTTCTTCTGCCCGTTTATATGCACTCTCTTATCTGTTTTGACCTCCGAAGCAGGTGACCTCCGAAGCTATTCATTCTCGGTCGATGATTCATTCGGTTCTAGTCCAATCCGAAAATTTGTCAGTTACAGCACTCCCATCTTTAGGACAAGACGTCTCGGCTCGTAACAATTATTCTTCTAAGAGTACAGTAGAAGATAATATTTCTTCTTAGCTTCTGGGAGATCGTCTGTGCTGTAATCTGTATCTCGCGGATCATCGGGTTCATGTTCTTCTTCGGAATAACTGCTCTCTTGCGTCAACGTTGATTCCTTGTCATCTGTTTGGTCTAGGGACTTCATGGTGAACTTCGGTGTCTTAACATCAGGCTTCATTACTATTACATGGGATCCTAGGGTGCATACTCCAAAATCGGAACTGCTCGTGGCAATACGTCTAAGTTTTCTCTGAATACCTTCTCTACTTGTTTTACAGAATCTTCAGATAAATCATTCCCGATATTAAAAGTAAACGACTCTATGTTCAGTTTTCGATAAGAATGAACCAATAAACTAATATTTCTTTCCTTCGAAGGATTAACGTTTGGCCTTATAATATTTGAATCTGTTGCATTACTGTCTGATTGTGATAATAAAGACAAGTTTACAAAGGAATATTCTTCACATGGTTTCCCTTTGGTAACAGTATATTCCGCTGGAAGTAAAACAGTTGGAGTGCTATTTAGTACTAGAATTATACATTCATTATTTCTCACCTCACAAATATCTGATAAAACATTGATACCATTCTCGCCCATTTCGTGCTTTATTTTTACTGTACCCTGTTGCGAACTTTTACGGTACGCATAGTAAAAGCATCCTCAAGTGTTTCTTAGGTAGTACGGAATTTTTCTTTGCCATGATGTAACAGGGGCATTTGAATTTGACTAATATAATTCTTTCCATTGGCACTATAAATAAGTTGTCTCTGAAGCTGATGGTTGCTTTCATTTGTTCACAAAAATCACTACCTAGTAATAAATCATGTGGAAAATTTTCCAATACTACAAACACAAATTCAATACTATTTCCTACTATTTCTAGTCTACATATACAAGTTCCTTCACATTCTATTTTTCTGTTATCGGCTACAATTAGTTTAATAGATTTCAGGACGTTTTAGTCTTAATTCTATACATATTTTTCGACTTATCGATGATTTTTCTGAGACCGTATCAATGATGGCACTAAGCGGAGATTCCTCGATTTCCAAATAAATAGTGCATAATTTTGATTTCAAAATTGCGAGACACTAAAAGATAAAGAGGGATTTAGCAGCTTGGAAACAGGGCTCTCCGTCAGAAGTCCGACCCATTAGGTTTTTTGTTCCTCGAGCTTATCCATGAGTTTTCGCATTTTTTCGAACCCATAAAATTTTGGCTATTGCCACTTCTCATATAATGACCTCGATTCCAACAGTTATGGCAAATGATATCGTGAGAACTTTCTTCTAAGACTGTCTTGGTCCACTAGGGTTCCGTTCCCTGAACACTGGGAGTTTGCTCGTGCGGTCACTCCTCGGGCGACCGGGTGGTGAGGGACGGAGCCGAACTTATCCGAACGGACCACCCTCCGAAAAATTCTTGGGGATTCCTTGACCCGTCTTGATTCAATCCCAGGTCCCCATAGCGGTAGGCTGCCACCTTGACCGCTCGGCCATCCGGCCGCATATTTAGGATTTAATTATTTCAGTCGAAGCGGTAGGCTGCCACCTTGACCGCTCGGCCATCCGGCTATGCTAAAACTTTTGTAGTAGTTTTCGCGTTCTCTCTTTGTTATCGAGTTTAAATTCTTTTGTTATTGAGTTTAAATTCGAGTTTTGTTATTACCAACGCCATAAAACAATTCCAAGAAAAGAATTTCTTGGAATTGTTTTAAACAAAAATTGCTTCATTTCCTTGAAGAGAATTTCGAAATCAGATTGATAGATAATGTATAGTACGTTTTTTATATATTAAAATGATAATAACTTTATTTTATAAATATAATTTCAGTAAAAGCTAGCTAATCCGAAAACTGCAGGACTTAATGAGTGCTGAATTGTAAAAAATGTCGGGATTATCTGGCGTTTCTGTATTTTCGTAAAATTGAAATCGTTATATGCGATCTGAAAGTTGCAGACATTACTGTACATTTTGTGCAAGTGCATGTTGCTGAATACTTCCAATGTATTTACGCATGTCTATAGCCTAATTAGTCGAGTTATTCGAGCGTTTTCGAATCCAACGTTTTTAAGTTTCGTCCTGATATAAAGAATCGTTGTTTTCAGTATACAAAAATATTCTAGAGTAAACTTACTTTACTGTCCGGTCCTTCTGGGTGGAGATTGAACGTAGGGCTGACAACCGTACCTCGGAAAACAACGGTGTTTTGAAACCAAGACAATCGAAAAACAGGAAGGGCTAATCAAATCGGCTGCAACGACAAGAAAACGGAAACATTGAATAAGACTTGGGACACGGAATGTACGAAGTTTATATGTCACTATGGGAGCATTAAAAAACACAATTGAAGAATTCAAGAAATACAACATAGATCTTGCACTATTTCAAGAAACAAGACGGATAGAAGAGGGTAGTCTCACATCTGGGCGAATTGTATGGAGGAAGCAATAAACATGAGTTTGGTACAAGGTTTACCATCAAGAATGAATACATTTCCAGCATGCTGCAGATGGAGTTCATTACTGATCGCATATCATGATTGAGGATTTAAGAGTGTTTCTTTTAGAAAACCCATTATGGGTTCTGCCAGGCCCACAATCGGCGCGGTCGGGTGTTGAGGAACTGGGCACCACGAAAAATTCTTGGGGATTTTTCGATAGATCCGTCTGGATTCGATCCCTGGTCCCCAGAGCGGTAGGCTTCCACCTTGACTGCTCAGCCTCCGGATACTAACGGATTGCGGGTAAGGGGAAAATGGTCTAACATAAGCATAGTGAAGTTTTCTTCCTAAACTTCGTCTTCTCAAGTTGATTTATCAGGTAAAACACGGCTTGAAATGTTCTAGATGTAGGTCCATTAGAAGCACACCGTCACACTCAAGACAGTTCATTATATACACTTTATTTACAAATTATATCGATTAGAACTACATGAACGTACAAAGCGTGATGCTTCGTGTTCTCGAATGACCATATGCAAGCGATTAAGTTTTTGAGAGATCTCGGTCAGTGAATTGGCTCTATCTGCACTGTTCGTCCGGTCTCAGCACTTACCCGTATCTGAGCGTAATTTTCAGAGGAGTATGCTCTCTCTCTCTCTTTTACTCTCTATCCTCAACAGACTTGCTAAGTGTCTGAAGCCTTTGTGCTACCAGTCCCGAGCTTTTTTCCCTCTATCTCGCTCACTCTCCAATCATCTGTTTACTGCCAGGTGTTTACCACCTCCGCAAGTGGTTTATGACCGGACCATTTTTGAATCAAATTAGCGAGATTGTCGCTTCCTTTGTTTCCCTTTCCGTTTACAAACATATTTTTCACAAGCATAATTAACATCCATGCGCCAACAGAAGTCAAGGCAAATGAAACTAAGGATAAATTCTAAGTACCCTAGAAGATCTTGTTGACAGAACACCGAAATTTAAATTACAATGGTAATTGGGAATGTAACACAAAAATAGGAAAGGAGACAGTTTGGAATTTACAGACGTAGCTTACATGCCGAAACCAATGATAATGGATTGGAAAAAAGGTTCCATTTGCAACATCCAAGAGCATGGTTGTTAATAAGACCATTATGTTCCCCATAAATTAATTCACAAACAAACACGAGTTTCGCCTGATTCATTTACAAGGAATCAGCTGGATCATGTATAGTACTTGTAGACTACAGATGGCATTCATCCATACTAGATGTTAAATCATATCGAGGTGAAAATAACAGATCAGATCACTTCCTGGTAGTAGCAAAAATGAGACAAGTAAAAGAAACCAAATAACTCCTCATAACCTAAAATATGTGCAAAAGGAAGAAGGAAAAAAGACGGGCATACAAACAGATACTGAAAGCTAGACTACAAGCTACATTAACAAAAGATATTCCTAAAAATGTTAACGACCAATGACGGATGTTGAGAGATTGTATCACATTGGCAGAGAAGGAAACATTGGGCATACAACGAAAAAACTTCAAAAAGAATGGTACAATGACGGATTTAGAGAAAAAGTAAAGGAGAAAACAAAAATGAAGCTCGACAATAACTAACAGATGAAAGGTATGAACTGTACAAAAATAGCTGTAAAAAAATTTAAAAATATATTCGCAAGGCCTAGAGACAATACATAGAAGAACAAATCCAAAGTATAGAAACTAGCTATAGAGAAAACAATATTAGAGAGTTATTCAAAAGAACTGCCATCTTTAAACAAGGATACAAGCCTAAATGCATATTTGTACGGGATGAAAACAACAAGATGATAACAGAAGAGGACAAGATCCTGAACAGATGGCGGGAATACTTCAAAGATCTGTTGAGTGTCATAAAAGAAAGCGAAGACACACAAAGTGCACAAGAGATAGATAACGCCAGTAGAACCATCGGTCGACAAAATAGAGCTTAGTATATCCCGGTAGAAAAACTACAAGAATGTAGGATGGTGATGTCGAGCGGTTAAGGCCCTAAGAGACTCAAATAACCATTGAATGAATGTCTATAATCAGTATTAAGATAAGACAACGTGTGACTACATTGTGTTAAAATTGATTGAAAATTCTACATAAACATTAATGAACACATTATTGCACAAAATTAACATATACAATGATTTGTGAGCTTATAATAAGTTATTTATTTTTCATACTTACTATATCTCTTAATTAATCATAATAAATAATCTTCATTTTATTTCATTTTCTATATTTTTGTATATGCCCTGGATCTTTAGAGTACCAGGTGTCCAAACAAATGCCGAATTGCAAAATACTAGCATGCCGGATGATTCTGGATTACCTGCTACTTTTCAGAAAGTGCATTGGACATTCAGGATTATAGAGTGCCGGATTAACGAGACCCTGACGTGTTTTTCCCATAGACTTAACATTATACCTTTGCACCTTCGCCACACCAGAATCATAGAACCTTTCTCAAATCTCTCTCCAGCGGAATCATTTAAAGGATAAAAACTTTAATTTGATACCTGAACCTACTTTTAGCCCCAGTCGTTTACTCAAACTAAGTCAGACAAACTGAAATCCTCTCTTAATTAATATATAGACATTAAACTTAAATTTCAAAAATATGAAAAATAATGACTTGTTGATGATTTTCCAGCTGTGTTATTACAATTTTAATATTTTTAAGTTTAGTGTATTATAATTACAATTACAAACCTTGTCATACATTGAATAATTTTAAGAATTTTACCATCACCTTATAGTTTTCCGCGCTACAATGTTCTATTTCTTAATAATAATACAATATTTAAATATTATAAGCCTACTGTATATGTCTGATTAAATTATGATTACATTAGTCAAATATATACTTAAGAATATAATAAATTTTAATATTTGATAAAAATCTACTCATTTACTAAAAAATATACAATCATCATATAAGGAAAAAAGTGTACTTTAGATACTAATTTAGTCTTTCAATATAATATCGATAATTTAATTTTTGCATTAGTTATTGTAGTATACGTCCGGAGAAAGTTATATGGAAAAAATAATCTTCATTCTATTTCATTTTCTATATATATGTAGTCATTTTTGTGTGCATATTGTAATCATTTATATTATTGTATGTAAGCATTAATATATAACTTTAAATGTTGAATTTTAACAAATAATTGTATAATGTGTATTATTCATTAAAAGTAGACAAGCTGTAAAATTGATTAGTATCGAACTACTATGGAAATTTAAAGAAAGTCTTTCGGTCCTCCTAGAATGGAAAGATGATCGCTCTATCTTTTTCTATTTCAAAAGAAAAAAAGGAAGCCATTGTTACAAAAACGAATGAGATTCTATTCTGCTTATGTTTTATGCTTTCTGATATACACAATGCATTAAAAGTGTTTTAATTCACAAAACTAAACATGTAACCTGATTTTTTTAAATGGTTTGAAAGATTCACATTAATTTAATGAATACAGGAAAATTAAACTCGCTTAATTTGAAAATTTAAGTGAATACAAACAATAAAATAAATTGATTGCTGATATTCAGCTAAAGTATTTATTTCAATTTCCTTTTTTTTATAGTTTCATATTAAATTAGGAAATGAATGAACAAACAAACTATCCAGAACAATAACAAAATATCCTTGGCTATCAGGTAATAGTTATTTTTATTTAGATAGAATATATATACCAGGCTTCACGACTTATAAACTACTATTTTCTTTGTATTAATAGTCTAATTGTATTTAAAAGTACGATCAATATGTTTACATTTCTCTTCTGAATTGACCTTAGACTGCAATCTCACTCTGTTGGCATTGGTTACACATCATTCAAAATTAAATGTAGAATTGATGTTATAATGAATGGTGCCAGGCAAAAACCTTTCAGGCTTCTAACTAACAGAGCTGGATATATTCCAGTTTTTTACAAATGTCGGACGAAGGCCAGGAAACTATTCGTGTCTTGTTCTTGAGATGGCTATATGCTCTATTTTGTTTTGAGATGGCTACATTATATGTTTCGGATATCTACTCACGCATTAACTTCAAATTTATGAGTTTTATTGATAAATTTTTAATTAAAAACGTTGTAAAAACATGCCCTTCGATATATTCGGCTAACTTAAATCATTATTTTTCAGTTAAATTACTTATAATGAAATAATATTAAAAATAATAATCATAAATTGAGCTTTCGTGGATTAAAACGTAAAATATTTAGATTAATTTCACCCCAAAAAATTATTTAATTCGGATAAAATTAAATATTATCTGAAGCTTTCTTTATAACACGCACACAAATAAGTTTTATGTCAAATATACATTTAAAAAAAATACTAAAAATTAAGTCAATAGATAATAATTTTAACTCTATACAACAGCAATATTAATTGAAAATATAATTAAAATAATTTATTATGTGTCTTTAGCTGAAGGAAATAATTCAAAGTTATAAGTTACAATTTTAATTTAAGGTAAAATACAGACAACATCCTATCATCACTGTGCCTATTATTAAAACGTTTTGGAAAGCGCCATGGTGTTCGTAAAAGTTCATCAACCTCAAGAGTGTGATACGAATACAGTTATTTTTATCAAATCTGACTAATTGTAAATTCTTTAATCATCGTAATTAGTTTAAAATGCATCAACCTGATTTAACAACATGACATAAGTGATAGTTATTAATTCATTTTTTACATACCACTTCTTAGAAAACTATTCTAGTCTGTAATGGAATGTATATTGAAAATAAAATTAGTATTTCATAATAAAGAAATATATATATACTGTACAGTACATAAAAAAATTACTTTAAGTATGTAAAAGTACTGGGATTTAAAAATTTGTCTTGGCTTTCACTTATAAATCTCAAAATGTAAGTTTAATATATTAAAGTACATACAAAATATAAAGAATTATAATGAATATTTTTCTTGTTTTTAGTTTTTAAATAAAATTATATTTAAATTAATGACAATATTTAAATATTTTACAATTAATTAAAATTATTTGTTTATATAATAACAGTTTAACAAGGAATATATTTATAAATGTATATAAGTTATGTCTGTTTTCTATACACTTCTAAACCCGTCTGTACCAAATTTTTCACAGTTACTCTCTAGAATCCTACAAAAATAGTAGGCTATTATAAAATCTGCCCTCCCCTTCAATTTTATCCCCTTGATACTTCATGATAAACATAATAATAGGCTAAAATAACCAAACTTTTAATGTGGTTATCATTTTGTTTGTCCTTGTTACTGTTCGTCCTGGCAATGCCGAGCATTTTTGCTAGTTTATATATAAATATAGGCTACGTTTGTTGCCTGCTAATGCATATTTGGTCTTCTAACATTATCAAATAAAAACAAAATTTAATTTTCTAACGTTTAGTTCATTGTTTAGTCTGTATCAATAAGGCCGATTTGCACTGATGTAATATATAGAAAGGTTGATGCAACAGTGAAACTTCCCAACTCAGCTGATTTAAGTTCATCGCATAATCAAAGAATTATATCAATAAAAACAAATTTCAGTTTTACAATTGATCGATAAGCTGTGATAATTTGAAAAACAGATTAGTCATCTAAAAAATCCTAAATAATAATATAAAAATGGAAATTCAACCTTATCTGATATTAATATGCAATAGACATACGTCAATTTAAGATATTATCCACTTTATAATTATCTTACAAAGTTATTTATCAAAATAACTCTAGATTACACTACTAAAATGTAAGGATATTTACAGGACAAACGTCTTAGATATTTAACAATTCCTTTTTTGTATAGACTAAATATAGACTAATATGGTTTTAATGTTATAGCTTATCTCTAACAATAATAAACCTTTATAAGGTTTATCTATGCAAAGGCTTTTATTTGAAAAATTAATAAACATTCTTATTTGAAATCTACACAATTGATAATACTTAATCGCAACTGATAATATTTAATTAGATAAATTAACTGACTCAACCTATCCGAAGCAAAATAAATAGCTGATTTACTTATCGAACTACAAAAATAATCGACTTAATGACGTAAATATATTAACATTTGCGATTACTTGTAATTAACTTTCAAATTCTGACAAGTTTTCGTTAATTTATATAACTTTCAGCTCTATATAATTAAATCCTAAGAAAGAGGTTCACACACGAAATTGCTCAAGCTGAGTTTCGACCTATTTGATCGAACACATTTAAAACAACGTTCAAAACCCACATTTAGATCAGAGAAATGAGATTAGCCGCCACAATTCCAGATTTACAACCTTATTCACTCTCTTTTAACTTTACTTTCATTTTCATAATTTTATTAATAGTAATACTATTTTTGTTTACATATTTTAGTAACTATCGATTTTATAAATTATTATCTCTAGTTCCTGGACCAAAATCACATCCAATACTAGGAAATATCGGAAGTGTGACGTATCACAACACGGACTGTCCTCACGTTTGTAAGTATTGTTTTAAATTTTTTTTAATTAACCAGCCCAAATTTTATTCACTGGACCATTGTCTAACCTTATAAAATTTCTTAACATAATCTTAGCATTTGTAGTAGGATGATATTTGTTAGAATCATATCCCCCCTCCTGTTAAAACAGTGATTCCCAAAGTCTGTTAGTGGGTTCGCGCCTCGCCAACGTGGAGTTTTCCGGGTTTACTTCACGTTTCTAACACCTAAATAGGGACCAGTTTCCTTCCGGTAGTTATCCCCCTTGGCAGATTGCCAACGAGTAACTTTGCTGTAAAAAAACAGTCATAAAATAGTTTTTTTTAAATATAACGTACAAAGCAAAAAATAACTACTTTTTTTAACATAAAATTTAGAAGAAATTATAAAACAGAGTTAATATTAATAACTTATAAGTGGATTTTAACACATTGATTCCCGAACTTTTTTGAGCCACCTTGGCTCAACTTGGGGCGATAGCGCCCACTTCGTGAACCACTGTTTCCCCAAAGTGGTGGGATTTAGATCAGTGTTTAATGATTTTATCCGCTTGGCAACTAGTGGGCTAAAAAAAAACTATCCTAGAGTTTGTTCTAAATATTCTACTTGAATTGCTTAATGAAGAGATACAATAGTTTGTACTGTACATTCGAAAACGTTTGTTAATTAAACTGTTAATTTACATTTATAAACTGAGTTTCTCAAATTATCGTGGTGTAGGCCTGAACTGAAAAATCTATTTCTTTAATATTTAATCATTTAATATTTAAAAATGATTAACATTTTCTTTATATTTTAGTACTTTTTCAACTTCTAACCGGATTTACTAAAGTTTTCGAAAAAGAAAGAGTATTCAGATTTTGGGTATGTTTCCGTCCGATTGTAGCGCTCTACAAACCAGAAATGGTTGAAGTAAGTACAGTAAGCTTATAACTTAAATTCTCAGGTTAAAATATTCATAAATTTCATCGAAATAACACTAATTGTCAGGCACTTCTCAGCGGAGTTAGAACTATGGATAAAGCCTACGAATATAGATTTCTTCAACCTTGGCTCGGTACAGGACTTTTAACGAGGCGAGTAATAATAAGTTTTATAGCTATTTACTTATTTCATCACGTTAACAAAGTAAATAAGTTATTGACATTACTCTGACAGTACCGGGAATAAATGGAGAAAGAGAAGGAAATTGTTAACTCCGAGCTTTCATTTCCGCATTCTGGAAGACTTCTTGTTCATTTTTGATAAACAATCGAAAATTTTGATCGATGTCATGAAAAAATCCGATCGAAAAGTTGTAGATATTGTTCCTTTAGTAACTATGTGCACATTGGATATTATATGTGGTTTGTTTTGAATTTCTCTCTTTTCTGATTTACTAAATATTCTAAATTAAACTTTCTTACTTACACCCTTTTCAGAGACTATTCTGGGTGTAAGTATAAATGCCCAGTATGATACAGAATCTGAATACGTTCGATCTGTTCATAAGTGCGTATCGTTATTTTCTTAAGTTTAGCATAATTAATTAAAACTAACTCTATTCAATGATGATTATTTTACTTTCCAGCATAGGTGAGATGTTTCTAGCTCGTGTAATGAGACCTTGGTTGTGGTCGGATTTTATCTTCTACAGATCCAATTTCGGAAAGGAATTTAAAAAAAGCTTGGATATTCTTCACGAATTTTCTATGCAGGTAAATTTACTTTAAATCAATGCTATAGCACCATATATATATATACTGTATTAAGCGCATAAAACACAATGTTTTAGGTGATTCGAACTAAAAAACAACGATTGTTACTTGAAGTAAATGATTTTGATTCCATGGAACCAAAACGTCAAGCTTTTTTGGATCTTCTCTTAAATCATCACTTTCAGGATTCAAATTTTAGTGAGGAAGATATCAGAGAAGAAGTGGATACGTTTGTTTTCGAGGTAAATTTCAAAAAATTGTTGATATAGTTAGTGAGATTTGCATTTTAATTATCTAATTTCGTAGGGGCACGATACGACTGCCATGTGTCTGAGCTGGACTCTTTATCTAATTGGTTTGCATCAAGAAGTACAGTTAAAACTCCAAGAAGAGCAACAGATTATTTTCGGTGATGATATCAATCGTCAAGTTACAATAGATGATTTAAAGGAGATGAAATATCTCGAATGCGTTATAAAGGTACTACAAAATAGATTAGAACTGCAATTCAACTTTTATACATAAAAAACATTATAATATTTTGTTTAAATTTCAGGAATCTCAAAGATTATATCCATCTGTTCCATTTCTGGGACGAGAAATTAATGAAGATACTAACATTGGTATATTAAGTAGAAATACTATACTTATTTCAGTATACATGAAGTGTTACTAAAGTATTTATTTTCTAAATATATTTAATTAATAAGACAAACATATTTTAATATATTAACATGCTTGTATCGCTTGAGTTACTGTTAACTGTGATGTTTTCCTCCTTAATTTTTTTTCCTTGCTGTTACGATAGTAGTCATCAAAACACTGTGCATGTGTTTGCATGTGCGGGCTTATGTGTTTTGTATTCATTCTGCCAAAATAAATTTAGAAAATATAAATAGTGCCGAAAACTTAATAAGTTTGGCCTTGAAAGAGAACTTGGCCACTAAGGAGAAACCAAACAAGTTTTGAATTGATAAGAAACATTGTTTTCTGACATGTTGCAACGTTGCATATCCCATGTTCGCGCCAGGAATGACGTTTTGGAGTCAGTTACTGCATATTTCCTATTCATAGATAGAAGTACTAGAACTGATGGCGTGAGTAGCCTCATGTCCGATCACCGTTATTCCAGGGATTTCTCCTAATTACTCATTTGAAATGGAGTCGAGTAGACTTCAGAGACAGTCAGAGACGAGCGCTGAACAAAAATCCGACAACCGTGTTGCATTGAACGACAGTTAGACGCCGTACCAAACTGAGTCACAAGGTTTCTGTATTATGTTTAACGTTCCAAACACGAGACCAAGCTGTAACTTGTTTATCAGTTTTTCTAGATGCAGCCCTGCTTAATCCAAAATATATTCAGTTACTTTACAACTGACAGATTAACGCCCGTTTCTTTATCGCTTTGTTTGTCTAAGTAACAGATGTTCAATTGTTAAGCAAAGCTATAAACAACATCTGACAAAATTTTTAATAATTCCAGATAAATATTTACTTCCAAAAGGTACGACGTGCTTTGTTTTCTCATACATGTTGCATCGTGATCCTGAGATTTTTCCTGATCCTGAGATTTTTCAACCGGAACGATTTTTACCCGAAAACTGTTTGAACAGACATCCTTACGCCTATGTTCCTTTCTCGGCCGGTCCAAGAAACTGTATTGGTTGGTAGACTCTATTATTCTTTACATTTAATCCGGCGAATAATTAATTTTCATTTACTATTAAAGGTCAGAAATTCGCCATGATGGAACTAAAGACCGTAATATCAACTGTATTGAGGAACTTTCATTTGAAATCATTAAAAGAGCGTGATCAAATCCTTCTCATCGCGGAAATGGTTTTGAGACCTAAAAATGGCTTATTCATAACAATAAAAGAACGAGAAAATAAAACAATTTATTAATAGTTAATCAAAATTATATCATTTATTAACATACTCTCATTTTTAAAGTGAAAAAGAAAGATAAAACAGAGGAAATTAATGATAAAACACTATGAAAATCTATGTGTGAGAGCTATATAAAGTAAATTAGTTGTAAGAACATTAAAATTCCCTAAAGAATTCTTTAACATATATAAATATATATAATTCTATTACTATTTAATATTTCGAAATAATCAAAAATTATCTATAAAATTTTATTACCTTCCACATCCTGAAAAATAAATGATTAAGTTCAAAATATTTCTGCTAAAAAAGAACAACTTGCTAATTTTTTTGCCTTTTACATTTTTTTCTGTTGCTGCCATTTAGATTATTTTTAAAATCATGATGATAAGTTAATTTATCTATACATATTTATCTATATACTTCTTTGAATAGTTTTCGCTCGCAATAATCAAAATATTATTAATTAAAATTTAGAAATTCCATAAAATATTTCAAATGGAATAACTTTCTGAGGAATGTTTATATTAGCCTATAAAACATTCATCGTTCCGAACCGATAATAGGATAATTGATTCTTCCGGATAAAAGTCGTTTTTAATTGGAATAAATAAAGGGTGGCCCATAAGTCGCTTAACCATTTAAAATTTTAATAAGATTTTTGTTTTTTAATTACTTGTATTTATTTATTTATTTAATATTATAAATTACAGAAAATTAAAGTTTATTTTAACTATGATAGAAAATGAATGTCACACAAATGACCCCTATTTTATGCTTCATAGGACTTTTCTAATGCATTTTTTTATAACAGCTCTTAAGATATCAAGCTTCAGCATTTGACTTTCTTTCCAAATATTGTCTTTAAGCTGCTGAATAGTCCGGAGGTTATTGCCATATACACGGTCCTTCAGGTAATCCCCAAAAAATTCGCTGGTTTCAAAGTAAAATTTTATGATTTTTATGCGTTACTCTATCGTAAAAGATAAAGTGACTTATGGGCCACCCTGCATACTAATATAATGAAATATTAATTTAAATTTTTGATATTTAAAAACGACTTCATTCACCCTATTTAAACTACATAAGTTTATGCATAATTAAATGAAAGAAATAAACTTTTTCGTTGGCTCATTAATCTTATGCTATATTTACATATAAAATTTAATCCTAATTAAGAGCTTTATCAATATAAATAAAGAAGTATAAGTTATGACTTAGAACGTTACAGATTTCTTAAAATAGTGTAATAAATAATGGAAAATCTGGAAACTATATTTTTACACGGTAGCATTTCTGGCTAAATAATTTATCAGAAAACAAAAATTAAAAAATTTTAATTTTTTTTGTCTTGTAGATAGACAAAACTCCGCATTATCAACCAATTAATATTACTTTACATAGATTTTAATTAGTATTAAATATAATCAGATATAATGTGTGTTATATCAATATCATGTTAGCCTTTTGAAAGGTTAATTTAAAGGAACCGTTAAATATAACTCCATCACTGACCTTGTTTAAATCCAAATTTTGGATGATAACAACAGCAATTCAACATTAATTTTGTTTAAAATACAACTTTAGTTCTCTTCCTTATATTTTGTTTCTGAATAGAAACAACTATGGAAAAAAATCTGTAAAATTTAATGTTATCATTACGAAGAATTTGCATTATTAGTTTCTCAAACAATTAATTTTGCTTTATCGTATTTAATAACAGTTCGGCATCACGAGCTACAAAATAGAAAGTTTACGACTGGAGACGTTAAACAATTCTTTCATTATTTGTTTCCCTGAGGTAAAGAAATAACCTAATTCTATTTCCAGAACAATTCTCGCATCCCCTGGAGCTGGAATGAGACGTTTTAATTAAAAAATTAAGCGGGAAAATCGTACAAATCACAATACTAACAGTTTTCAAATTCTGTTACTAGAGAGGAAAAAAATATGTTATGAAAAATAGGTTAGAAAATCTCTATTTAATATTATCAAAATTGTTAAATCTAATTTTTTTTTAATTCGTTTTGACTATCTTTAATAATATTATCGCAGAATTTAATACAGAAAAGCCCAAATTTATTACCTTTAAACAATAGCAAAATATAAATGTGTTGTGTAAGTGTAAGATACATTTTAGAATTTATTGAGATTATATTAATATTTTGCGCTTTATCTCTAACGAAAATAATGAAACATTAAAATGTAAAATGCATACTTAAATAAATGGAAAAGTGACATACTTAAATTAATATAGCTGAATTAAAAAAATGAATAAATAAAAATTAATTTTAATTATAAGAATAAATCATTTTTCTTTCTAACTGTATTGGAAAATCTGATGCTAATTTTTAAGAGCAAATAATGACAGGATTAGTCTATCAATATTGTTATATTTTAGAGATTTAAAAAAATAATAATATGCCTCACTAAATTAAGCATATGTAAATGGTTAAAAAGCGCTAGTATATTCATTGTACTCGTATATAATCTACATAAATACAGATATTCCTACCACGCTTGAAGGTGTTAATCTATTTTTAAAAGAAAATTGGTAGTTTCAGTTATAGTTTTTTCCTCTACTTTTCTAAGTTCTATATTATAATTTCAGTTTAATTATTCTTTTACTAAATTATTTTTCTTGCAGCAATTGATATTGATAATTTTTGTATATTTACATTTTGTGGTGAAACTGGAAGATCGAATAAGATAAAATTATCGTTAAACAAAGCCAAGTGAATTTAAACTTTCGCAATCTGATAATATTTCAGGAAATTATCGATATTTTTACTGAGAAATGAGTTTTTATACAAATCACATATTGAACCTTTCCATAACAAGGAAGGAAATTAATTCCTTAGAAACTGTTCATGTCCTTTTGTTTTCTTAATCGAGCATTTTCAATTCTCTGTAACGAATCTGCAAGTAAAACATTGTTAATCATTTTAGCCAAAAATATAGTAAACTACTGCACTAAAATAAGTAATTTATCTCCTTTGCCATAAGCAAAATTACAAAGTTTTCTTTATCTCAATATAATGTATTTTAGAACGTATTGCTAATTATCAAATGCAATTAGCATAATTAAAAATCAATTAACACTCTTTTGTTCATTCATGTGTCATTAGGCCTACCTCAAATGTTATCTTAAGTTGCTTCGTATTAAGGAAATGGAAATTAATTTGCTTTTTAAAATTCTGTACTTCAGAATACTTTCTAAATTTTCAAGTTCTTTCTTAAGTTACGCTTCAATGAACTGTGACTATCTTGCTATATAATATCATATATATAAAGCAGTAGTAAAACTTAAACTATGATAAAAATATTTACCTTTTATCTTTTCTAATATATCTAGTTGTTACTTATTGATTTAATAGAGCATAAATAATCAATAAATAGAACATATCAATTTGAGTATAAATTTTAAAAATAAAATAAAGTTTAATAAATTTAAAGGAGGAAATGACAAAAGTAAAACTAAATATATTTAAGATCATATATTCTAGAGAAACTTCATCGATAAACAAGTTTTCAATGTGCTCAATCGTAAACACTGGCGATGACACATCCCCGTTGTTTACTACACATTAGTAAACAAAATAAAGTACTATTAAAATATAAATAAATAATTAATATTTGATGACGGCTTGAATAATAAATAATAAAAATTAAATAAATAAAATAACAACATCCAATATTAATATCTAAGTGGCGTCAATTTAAAATATTTAGATAAGATTACTATCCCACGCTCAGAAATTCCTGATAAAATAAAATATTTTTCCATCGATTTAGATAAATAAATTGCATATTTTATGACATTAAATAATGCCCTTTTAAACGGAAATTAATCCAGAATATCGTAGTCGTGCTAAAAGTTCTATTCAAGTAAAAATTTGAATATTAAAATATATATGATTTTATCAATTTTTTGTGATTAATATTGTTTTTCGTAATTATTATCATTATTATAAAATGTTGCAGCTATACGAATGACAAGAATTTATCACTAATTTCGAATCAGGTTTAAGTGAATCACATCTAGGAAAACTTATGATGATGATTCAACTTTCCGCTCGCTTCTCGCCCGGTTCTATTTGTCTTGCAGTTATCTCGTCCGAACTGGTACGTACACGAAGAAAATAGATAAAAAGACTTCTATTTCTTAAAATCTTTAAAGGAAAATACAATTAACAGCCATTGTGTCATATAACCTAAGGCGCTTCTAACATTCAATTTAGTGTATATCTATGGGGCGAGAATGGATCCACTTATATTCTAAACCTGCATAAATTCCTTAGTCATCTATTGACAGTTATTATGATTAATAATAGATTTACTGAAGAAACCACAAAAGGTTATAAAATCCTCCCGGATTCGGTTATTTTCAATAACAGCAAAAATATTAATTAAATAAATAAAACAACAACAAAAAAATACCATCGTGAGATATAAATTTGCAAATTTAGGACGAATCAGCACTTTTTAAAAACCGCAAAATATTTCCTTAACATTCGTAAATAAAATGCCGTTCAATAGAAACATTTATTTAGGATTTACAGGTCATTCGTTTGCATTTTTAAAAATTGACAGAAATATTCCAAATTTTTTTAATAATTTAGGCCAAAACTCGAAAACTAATACGTTACAACTCATTAAGCAATAGCGTATGTAACAGTAGTATAATATATATATAGCCTTTATATACTGTGATAATACTGTGCCATACTGTGATAATTATTAGTTCGTCATATGGCATATTTTCTATCATTACTTGTGAACCACAATTTAATAATTTATTTTAGTATTTAGATAGTAAACATATTTTATTTTGATAATATATCGTTCTTATCTGAGAAACATATTAAATAAACTTTTATCTGTAAACAATCAATGTAGATATTACACATATTATCAACCTATGTAGTGCTATAAGTATTTATAGGCTTGCTCTGTTAGCGTTTCTGTGCTTAATCACCTGACTCGTCTGCGATGCTATACTCATTCGTAAGGGGTTACAGAAGCCATTACTATGATAAATTATACGCATCGTGATAAGCAGCGATCTTATCGGATATAACACTATTTATTTACCGCTATTATGTGATAATATTACAAAATAGTCGATTGTGGAGAGGGGAAAGTATAAACTACGATACTATCGAAATTTAATGTTGTCCGAAGAGCGACGGTAGCATGAGTCAAGTATAAAAATCGATGTACTGATCCAGAAAATGTCACCAAGGTCGAGTGACGATCACGAGCTGCTCGGTGGGACTATGCGCATGACATCACACAAACGATAAGATCCAGTGTGAGGCAACTTGGTCGAGCCAGTCAGACGTCGTCATGAAGTGCTTCCTACTGGTGTTCTCCGTCCTCAGCAGCGTTTTGGCTCGGGACACGTGCCATCAAGACAGGACGCTAGATCCCATTTCTAAGACTTACCTGTCACCCGTCGTTTTTTTAGGTAAACTAACAAATGTTGTTCGACACGAAAATATGATGCGTACCAGGTTTCACGTGAAAAAAGTGCTAAAGAATGTTGGAATGCAGTCGAAACAGAAAAAGAGGGTACGTCTGGAATATAGGAACTCTACTTTCTGTGAACTGCCCAGAGATATGGAGTTGACAAAGGAGTATTTAGTATTTATACGCGTAAATTATTCCGAGGTTGAACCGTTGTTCCTACCGGAGCCGAGCAATCCCAAGATGATCAGAAATGTTAGGAAGATTGCATGCCGAAAGTGTGGTAAGCACGAGTTTATTTATATTTCATTTTTTCGACACAAATACTCATCTGCAACTTGAAAGATTCTTGAACATTCGTCAAAAGATACAAAACTTGTTCAAGAGCGTTTCGAGTTGTTACTTTTTCAATCTTTTTAAAAGAACTTACATTACCAGTAAAGGAAAGATCTTCAGAAATATTATTATGAAAGCTGATAAGTCAATGAAAATAATTGTAACATATGAGATTAAATCTGTATATAAATATGAAAGTAGTTTTAGAGATATTCTAACTCTAAGCTATTAAAATACTGTATTATAGATATTCTATATATAATAATCCTTAATATTAAATTCGAATGAAACGTTCATCCAAAGAAGTGAAAAAAACTTCACACTTTCAATATTAAAAGACATTAAAGATAGTCAAGCCGGTATCTTCAAATGAAAAATTTTTCAAACACAAAACTGCGAACTGTGTCAAATAATTTAATTATTCACAAACAAGCATTCTGACATTGATTCTTAACCTCATTTAGATGTAACTAATTGCGATGTTATAATTACTCGACAAAATAAGGTCAGCCTATTATTAAAGAAACGTATTCTAACTGTATTCAAGGATTTTAATGGATATGGTACACGAGAAAACAGACAAGTACTATTAAAAGTATTATGATACATGTAAATCCTGTCAATACACCCGAATTTCTGATGAGATCACTTAAGAAGTACATTTCACGTTCGCAAGCTTGGTTAAATTGCAGAAAAATCTAGGAATTTTATAAAACAAAACTGACAAATTCTTTATATCTCGGACTCTTAAATTCGAATCCCTTTAACTCCTATTGCATCATTTCCCATGCGGTGCCAGTTAGCTGCATTAGCAAAGCGCAAACAACCTTTAGAAAGGTTATAAGCTATCTTTAAACTTACATAAGCTATTTTTTGCTTCTCTCCTCATCCTCTGCATCTTTTTTAAATATCGTTAACAGCGAAACTGACCACAAAACTTCTCGTAAATAAGAACTGGCATTAACAAATTAGATTTTGTATCTCGAACTGTGTGTATTTTTCACGTTCTAATTTATAAAATGGAACATCAAAAATATAATTCGAGAATTCATTTACTTCGATAATTTTCAGTTCGAGTGTCCACATTGAAATTTGACTAGTCGTGAGTTTTAGATTATAAATTTTAGGACACGTTTTATGCATTTCCAGTCCTCATTCTAAAACGAGGACTGAAAATACATAAAATTAATGTTTTTCTTTCTGTATATTTTGATAACTGAATCGTTTGTTTTCTTTGGCAACTGAAAATACAATACACATGGGCAGCAGCGATATGTAACTTTAAATAGTTTCAGACAAAATTCAATATATGCGATGTAAATTCATTTCCGTTCTCCGGTCGTAATTATAGTAAAAATTGTTCCTAAAACTTTCTTCACAGAAAAACTCTTCTCAAAACCCCAGAAAATCTTCCGAAAAGTCTGCTGATCATACAAAAAGATTCATTACAACTCGATAAGATCTAATTCAGAAAATTCTATTAAAATGCTCTTAATTATTCCTAATCATTAGACCTAACTAAAAGGCAAGTTTTATGAACAAATTGTTCGTACGGAATGTCTTTTATAGAAAATAAATTTTCGTTCAAATCACATGTTAAATTAGTTAAAATCATTTCGAGATGCAGAAATTATCCCTGCACAAACACGAAACTCATATTTTCTCAGTATAAATATTCGAATCTCTTAGAAGGATGACCATTTACACGTCCTAAATATTAATGGGTTGCTATTAATTGTTGTTCTATTTATCAAGTTTCAACTGGGAGAGAGGTTAAAAAATTTAGGACATTCCGCATTATAAATATTAGCGAATATCAAAAATGGAAACGAAAATATCAGAGAGTAATTCTAGTATGCAGATGAGATATTGTGTAATTCGTCGCATTCTAAGCAAAACTATTAAACCGCATATTTGTTTAGCGCCGAATTTGGTCCACGTGACTAAACGAGACAAAAATTAATTAGAGATTTAATTAGCATCAGTGTGTAGTGGTTCTAATGTGAAACGGTTGACTGCTCTCTACTCACGGTCACTAACAATATTTGGCCTTGCACTTTACACTACTATTTTTTTTAGGCCTATGAGAGCGAAAGTTCGATCGTCTGCAACGCAATAAAACTTACTTAAGGAGGTTAAGCATCCTCAATTAATCGAAGGATCGTCTCCCCATCTTCTCTTCGAACTCAAAACAAACCGTTAATTCGATTTCCCTGATAGTAATGTGAAAGAATTCATTTGAGAACGTTACGTAATGAAATTTTAAACCAACGATTATCGGTGCTTACTGAGTCTGACGATAAACTTATCATTAGCGAAATTTCCACCTAAAAATATAATTTTAAAGGCTTGCTATTATTGTTTTCAGTAAAATGATCTCGACACCTGGGACGAGACGAGATAAATTTTTAACGAGATATATACCTGGGATGCTTTGTCGATCGGTATCTTTGCCAAACCGTCTAAGAATTTTGGAAGTAGTTCAAGGGAACTTGTCTGGCCACATACCAATATGGCTCCTATACAAAAATAGATTTTTAAAAACGCCATTATGATTCTGACTTCCGTCTTTTCTCCGATCACTGTTTTCCTTTTATCGGGAATCCTCCTCGTTATCTTCTACTGATCCAAATTTTTATACGACTTCTTACACCCTATAACATGGAAATTTCCGTTTCCTAACCAAAATCTAACGTTTTAAATATAAAATAAGCAAAAAATCAGATATCGGCTCGACTGTTTCGTTTATTTTTATATAGGTTAATTACATATAAACTAGCAATATTGTCATTAAAGCGAAACATTTTCTGAACCATTAATGATCTCTTTCACGTGACAAAGACATTCATCGTTGCATCATATCCTTCGATATGTCACATTCTGCTAAATGAAAGTGACCTCGAAAGAAGTCTTTTCCCTTTACAACTAATTGATTAAGTCTACTAGTTTTATTGTCTTTCGAAATGGCGACGAATGGCAGAGTGATTTTTTAAAATCAAATCGATTTCACGCAATACATTACTATCATCTTACAAACTTCAAACTTTATAGTATACGAATGTAAAACGCTTCGTGAGTAAACGTTACAAGATAGGTAAATGCTCCGACACACCTTACTCGGAGTCACGCAGTCTGCAGTTATGACGAACTATAAATATACTGGTTGCGAAGTGTCTGGACTGGAACAAAAATAGATTTGTCAGCCACTGACATCTGTTGTCTCAATGGTGCCGACAGCACTGTCGACTAACCAAAAAAAAAAAAAAAAAATGCCAGAAGTCAAGACAGCATTTGTTGACCCACGTGGTCTGAACGAGTTCTGCAACTCCAACTTTTATCGACAGCGATATAAAGAGGTCGTAAGAGCAATAAACATCGTCGCGACCATCCGAGAGGAAAATATCACAGTCTAGGAATCACTGTATCATCTCTCCAAAGTATCGCGAGTAATAATGGCGAATCGCGCTTTAATTACAGTTTAAGCACTCGATTCGCGTTTAAATGAAGCGTGAACCTTATTAGAGAGAGAGAGAGACAGAGAGAGAGAGCACTGCGAGTGGGAATGGGGTTCTTCACCTTCTCGAAAGATTTATTTAGTAAATGTGATATAAGCTAGGCGGCACCCAAATAAGGTGAACCCAGAAAATAAATATCGTCTTTCGCTTTAATGGGAATTGTGTCATACGATAGTCGATAAGAAAAATATAGAAGCTCGCTTATAAATGCTCATATATAGGTTGCAGATGTGCACTAACATGTTTCCCAATTGCAATGTTTTCCATTATTAGAAGATCTTAAACTAACAATTTTACTTTAAAGTTAACGTTAATAACAGGCTAAGTTTGATAATTGAAATTTATAAAGATGGATCATTCGTGTTAAAATGATCAAAGTAGTCGCTTAAGTGCAAAATATTTATTTATAACAGCAATAAAAAAGGTTATATTTTAATAATATATAATAGCTTTATATCTCGTTTAATTAAAAGAGTTACACCAGTTCGAAGACCTGCAATGGTTGAATGCAATGTAACAAAAAATAAAAAGGGGAAAAAAATGATCTGTAAGCCAATTTTTCATAACTTGTTTTTAAATAGAATTATAATTTTTTCCACTTTAATATTTAAATATTGCGAAATTATAATTCAAATTTAAATGTACTATAAGCAATAATTATCTATAATAATTCTTTACTTACCGATATAATTGTACTGTTAATGATGTACAGTAGTTTACTGGTTGATAATTATTAGAAAAGTATAAAAATGTTATACACAATGTAATTCAATGCTATATTTATCTAATAGTATTGTATTTTACGAGTTTATTATTGTTTTCGTCTGCAATTCTCGGTAAGTGCGGTAGTTTTATTACACTTGGCTAGCAAAATAATAAATCTTTTATTTGCATTCACTGATTTCTTTTTAATAAGAAAAATTTACACTTTAAGATATATATTACATATTTTTTCTTGAAATTTTAATGCTTTTTTTCAAAATTTTAATTAATGAATGTTACAAGATACATTTCTGTACAGAAATTTCTTAGTTTTTAATCCATTTTATGGTAAATTTTCAGAATTTTTTGCGTTTTCTATTTTTTTTTTATCTGTAAGTGGTTTAAATCAAAACACTTCCTGCTTAAATAGTGTTATTTAAAACTTTTTGCGATTTTTTTCTCTCCCTCTTTACCCATTATGTCCCCGTGTTTTGATATAACACTGGTTGAAAACTTCTAGGACAAAATGGAAATGAATATTTCCTGCAACTTGCGGTGTTTTTATTTATTCATATTGTCCTAAAAATTTATCTGATATGAATTTCCAACCAATTTTTCGGTTTTTTCTATTATTTCTTTATCTACAAGGCAATTTTCTATTTTCTGAGCTTTGACAGTCCAAACAACTTTTTTCTTTCTACTCCGATTTGTGCTAAAAATTTATCTAATACATTTAATTTTTTTTTAATTTTATCATTTTCATATCCAGATGGTGAAACTCCTGTTGTTCGGCTGAAATGGGGAGAGCACTTGGCATTCGAAGTATGCGTTGGTAGATGCTATCCAATGTATAGGCATCATATCGTTTAGAGAAAGAAATGAAATTTGTTCGTTGACTTGTTATTCTTGAAAGAAGNATATCAATGTTTATAATTAATAATTATAAATTTTTATTATTTTTATCTATTTTTTATAATAATATATACATTTTAAATAATAAAAATCGATATTTTTATTAATTTCGGACAGAATTATAAATCTTAACCCTAACATCCATAGAGTTAAGCTTACAAAATATTGTTTAGATGTTTATGTTTTAATTTGTTTTCTGTATTTTCTCAAATAAGTAAAGTTTTACTTTTCTTTCTTATCCGAGTGGAAGAAAAATGTTTTGAATTTTATTTGCATTTTCCTGTAATTCCAACTTTTTTTTTTTTCCAATGTTCATCTGCAGCGAAACCCCCAACTGTCGGACGCTTAAATGACGTCACTCTAAAACCGGGCGGACGTCTAAAGCTGAACTGTAAAATCGGCGGAAATCCTTTTCCGAGAGTCGAATGGTACAAAAACGGGAAAATAATCGAAGGAAGAAGCAGGATTAAAATAAAAAATAAAAGGTAAGCCTCTTTGTAAACTTCAATTTTCAAATTCTACGAAAATAAACGTTATTAAATAAGATGACGTCATTATCTACGGAAATGACGTTGCCAGTAGAAATACTAGCAATATTTTTTTTATAATTACTTTGACGAGATCGAAATAATAATAAAAGTAATCTAAAATTATTACATTAAGAACAAAACTCATTAACTAGCGTTTGGTATAACGAACTTTTTTAATTAAAATTAATTCAGTTTGGTGAGTCATACGCCGATAACGTTTATATCCTGTTTAATTGAGGTGTATAACTTTTAATAATTTTCTATAATTTAATTAATAAACTACACTAAATTAACCAATCATTAGATAACGTATTTTTAAAATTATTTCGAATTAACCAATCGGCGTTAAAGTCGACGATTAAGTTAAACTATTCTGATTGGCGGATATTTTTTCAAAAAAATATATGTACGTATGACGTAATCCAGTCTGGCATCACATTTATATTTTCAATAAGGTGTGTAACTTCAGTGTGATGTCATATCTTATTACAAAATAGCGTTAACTATTGTTTAATAGGAAATTTGAATAAATTATGCAAATATTAGCATTCTTTGTGTGTATATAAATACATTTCTAGTTATTTTGAACGTGTTAAAATCTACAAAATATTTAAAATATGTAAACTTTACATAATTTGAATTTCTCTTTTTAAAAAAGTAATAATAATAAAATCTGTTTGAAAACTTTCAAAATTTTCTATCTTTAACATCTTTATATAATAAAACTTCTCTTTCTTTCACTAGTAACATGAATCAGCCATGATTTATGATGGAAAAATATTTATAAATTCTGTAATCAGGATAAATATTGTTATTTTTATCTATGATAATCATTAAAATAAATCACATTAAACAAACACCTTGTTAGTGTTAACCTTAATTTATGTATAAATATACACTACATTTCTCTTTTGTTAGTATTGCGAAACGTTTAAAAATACATTAGCACGAAAGATTTTCAAAGTTATAAAAGAGAATAAGATTTTAAAAAGAAATTTTTCTAAATAAATATTAATAAAACTAAAACTTTTCAGCTGTTTCTCAATCTTTAAACAGTTTTCTAGAAGAGATTTTATATATACATAACCCCAAACAATTTTTTACACTTACTTTTAGCCTATAAAAAGTCTTCAAAGAACTGCCTCCGTATATTCAACAAGCAATAATTATAAAAAAATAAACATATCTTCAGTCACAGTTTGATTTTTAAACGCAAAAAAATAAAGAAATTTTCTCAAGAACTCTTTCGAAACCTTAAAAAATAAGAGAAAAACCAAAAGGATTATTTATAGATGAGTCAATAATATAAATTTTATAATAAAGTTTGTATATAATAAAGTTATATAATATAATATAAAGTTGCTTCTGCCGCCTTTGAAATGCGTGTAAATTAAACCGAATTTAAAAAAAATCACGATAATTTACAAGGATTTTCTATTATATAAAGTATTTATTATGATTATTAAGCACTTAGTTTATTTTTCCAACTGTCTCTCATCACTTTTTAACAAGCAACGTATCATTGTACTTAAACTCCTGCACATTAATGAATAATAATTACAGTGTAATAAACGAACGAATTATTCAATATATCCTAACGAATTTAAAGCAAGTAATTTAAATTTCAATTATATATTTAATTACTTTTTCAGGAAACAGTCAAACTTGATTATTAAGTCGGTAAATTATAAAGACATTGGTGAATATGAATGTCGAGTGAGTAACATCGTTCAACAGGAAGCGGTTTCCTCCAAAGCAAAAGTGATGATTAAAGCTTTTCAGACGACTACCTCCTCCTCAAGTAAGCTTCTAAATATTTGTTTAAAGGAATAATTTAGTATTGTAAATACTTTTAAAGCATTTTAATATATTTTTTTATTTTTTTATTTTTTTTTAGCAGAAAGTATCTTCGAGTTTGAAGGCTCTCCGTGTCCTATGGACACGTTTTGTTTAAATGGAGGCAACTGTACTTTTTACGAAATATTTGGAGAATATGTTTGCAAGTAAGTAATAATTTTACTGTCCTAAAGATACTTATTTTAACAATTTATTTAGCTTTAAATTCTATAATTAAATTAAATGAATAAATATTTTAAATGTATTATTTTAACATTTTTCTTGCATGTTGCATTATTAGTTTTTATTTATTTTTTTGTACGGATATCTTTCCGTATATAAAATATGTGTTCTAACAGTATTTTTCAGCATGTAAATCTTTACTAATCTTTAATAATCTCTTTTAAAATTAACTTAGTTTCTATGTACAAATGCGAATTTTTGCCACTTTAACAAATTCTGGGTATATGAGTATTCCTTTTTGGTATCGATCATATTCTGACTTTGTTTGTTTAAATAATATTAATTCTTAAATAAATAATGTAAAAAAAGCGTAAATTATGAGCTGCTGCAAGCTTTAGTTACTGGCTGCTCTGGCTCATTAATATCATTAATTTTGTGGTCCTTGAAGGATATAGTAGTGTTAACATGTAGTTCAGTAAGGTGATGGCCTATGAATGCATGCAAGCAACATTCTTTAACTTGGTCTAACTACAAGCGGTAAGAGAAAGACGGTAAATGGTTGAAAGTGTATTCCTTGTCTCTATAGATGTTCCGAAGGTTATAGGGGTCGACGGTGTGCAAGTAAAGACATCTCAGCAGCTTCCAGTACGTATGAAAATTGCATTAGTTTGGTATTGGTAGCTTAGCGACCTTAGCCACTGATGGTCACTTTGCTGCTACACATCAGAGTTAGTAGGAGATGCTATTTTTACAGTAAATAAAATAATTTATTAATTTATCGATGTATAATTTATCTAGTCTTATACTTCAAACAGGTATGTAACGTTTTTCAGGTATTTTTTTTAACTTTTTACTGTCTTTCAATATTGCTTTCCACGTTTTATTCCAATAGATTGAAGTATTTTATTATAATTTCTGATTATATATTTTTTATTTTGCATGAAAATGCATTTGCTATTTTTTAAAATAGGTCTAACAATTTAACAGTTTGTATCAACTGCGGTTATTGAACTTAAGACTGTCTGGATTTGTTCCAAAAAACATAAACTAGATTATGAAGTACTAAAAATCCTGGCTTGGTTTTAGCTGAATAAGCAAACAGAATTAATTAATAAGTAGAGTTATAACTTTTACATGTAATATTTTGTAATTTTTACGCTAGCCAAAATTCGACTTTAAGCTGTTGTGTCAAAGGAATTATGTGACAGTTCGTGTTAAACAAGAAATTTTGGAGCAGCAAGGAGTCTATAATTCAGCAATGAGTTATATTTTTGTCATCTATACGAATAAAAGTCCAACGGCGGTCATCTTTTTTCATTTCTCAGGCTGACATGGATGTGACTACAGGCGCGATCTTTACATTCTCGAATAGTCTCATTTTTATTTATTTATTTATCGATTTGTTATCTTTTTTACATAAGTAGAATTTAATATTTAAAAAATCTAAACATATGAATATTAAGAATTTCCAATGCTATCTTCAAGCCTTTAATCGCTGAAGGCCCATGGCCGAGGCGGTTATGCTCTGGAATCATCGAATCCGGGCGAATAATCCCAGGAATTTTTCGGGAGATGGTCTGTCCCGGATGTGTTAGGGCTCGTCCCTCACGTCCAGGCCACCTCCAGTGCGGGCATGGCCGAACCCATAATGAATATGATTTAAAAAGGGCATAGTGCCCAGAAGGCAGAAATAATATTTTAAAAAAACCACTTATTTGCTATTGAATCGCTTCAAGTTTAACAGATTTTTATTTAATAAGAATGTAAAGTAATAATTTTAAGGCATAGTTAATCTTTTTCTAAATGCAATAATATTTAAATAATTTTTAATTTGTTCAATGGCGTCGAACTGGATAAGATTTATAGCTAAAATAATTTCTAAATTCATGTAGAATTTTCAAATAAAATTGAATAATTTGTTACTATTCAATATAACTTTATTTATAATGTATCTAGTGCAAAACATAATTTTGAAACTCTATCACAGGTTGCCTGAAACCACTAAATTGGATAGTAAAATTCAACTTAATTCGATTTAACTTATTGCCACTATAATATATATATTGTACCTCCTGATTCTACGATTTGTTTAAATCTAAACATAATTATTTAATTCCCATTATCATGACGGGCTGATCATCTATATTATAAGAAGTTCTGATGATACTAAATCTGACAACGCAATGTTTTTAAAAAATTGCAATTGGATGCTGGTGATTCAAGAATCCCGTCGTATACTTTCCTGCCTATATTTACATAAACTAGAATATCACTCTAGATTCCGATTTCCTTTCAAAGTAATGTAATTAGAAGTATGCAGCGAAGACTAAATTTCATACTTCAGTCATTCTTTTTTTTCATTTGTTTATTTAGTTCTGTTGGCTTTCATTCATATATTTATTAATAAATGGATTGGTATTTATATAATGCTGCGTTTCTCGTCATTTTACGACGGGCCAATACACCAGTATATAATAGTTGAAAATAGTTCTTGATTGAAACAAACATGGCAGCCTCTCAGAACTGTTTATTTATACATTGTTATTTATCGAAAGGTTGAGCTTTCAAGTCCAAAATTGGTTTATTCTAGCTAATAAACATTAGAAACAGTTGCGCCTTTTCTAATAAAATATTCAACGAAATTTACCACATATTGAGGATTCGTTTAGAATAATTATTGTTATACAAATATAATTAAAATGCTTTAAATTTTATTTGCTTATATCTAATTAAATTTTTTGTAGATGTGCAGAAGGATACATTGGACAAAGATGCGACCACAAGAGTGTTTCAGTCATTTTGGGGCAGGTAATGAACCGTAAGTAAATAATTCATTACTTTAACATTGTGTAAATCCTTTGTAATCTTTTGCAATAAAAAAGCATTAATTACAGCCCATCTTAGGCATGTTACAGGATCCGTACCTTGGTAAGTTTGAGTAAAGAAAAAAGTGAATCTGCGTACTAACACTACTAACACTGCATGCTGTCAACATGGTCTTTAAATTAACCATTTCATTAATTAATAAACTTTAGCGTAAATAAGTACGCATGTTTTAAAATATTAGTTGCTGCTTGCCCGTTCAATTGCATGCTATTATTATTTTACATTTTGTAAATTGTTAATAATTATGTTCTATTTTTATTTATTTATTTATTTTATATATATATATGTTAGAGAGTGAGGAGAAGCAAGGAAGTTTGTCTTACGTTATCACTGCCCTTTTTGGGGCCTCGATATGGATAATAGTGATTCTGATGGTGATCATCGTCTTTTCTTGCAGGTAAACATATGAATTAATATCATATGATGATTATATTATATTGTCTATATTCAATTTTAATATTTAGTGAGTATTTAATAAAAAAAATAAGTTCTCACCGGATATGTTCCTTAGCTAATTTAATAACGTAAAATAAAATGTAATTAAATTGTTAAAAACATAATAATAAATGTCTTAATTATTGTATTATTTTTTAATTTAATAATTTAAAATTTATAAATGTAAAAGTGCATTTTTTTTTTAATGGCTAAAAGATAAAATTTTGTTATGGTTTGATGGAATAAGGCAACGAGACACAAAGCCAAGAGGGGTGGTTTCCGAGACAATCTTCTATGAGAAAATGGTCTCTGTTTAGGTTTTAGACTCGTTAAGAAAACCCGGAAAATTCCACGCAGTGATCTTATTGGTCACGTGCGAACCTACCACTAACTTTCAGTGTTTAAGCAGCGTTGTATTCGTGCCAGAGAGAGCCCGGTACTTTTTTAAGACGGGTGAAACCCTTGTACTTTGTGAACATCTAGGTTGGACTTTAGACTTTGTACCTCGACCAAAAAATAGAAAATTACTTCTTGCACAATTTTATGCGCTGATTATTATTTAGGTCATTTTTGGCGCATTTAAGCCGTTTTGCAGATATTGTGTCACAAAGTTGTGCTTTGCCCATACAAAACTCCATAGACATGATGATTTAAACTCGGGCGCCGCGCCGATTTTACTTTTTAATTTACCACAACACCTTTGGTTCAAGGGTTTTATTCATTTGGTCACGTTAAAATTTAGCTTATGTTTTCTATTCACTGATATATTATCAGTATATACAGTATATATATATTTTTCAAAGTTTTCTTCAAATTGAAAATTTCAAGAAATAAAACAAAGCGGTTGTTGTTTAATGAAAGAACATTCGGAATACATTTGTAAAGAACATTTGTATTTTTAATATATTTTCTTTTTTGGAATTCGTAATTATTAGGCTGTGTACACATTAGGCGTTTTGGTAATGCGCGTTTTAAAGAATCAAGAGTTCTGCATAGGCATACATACTCAAACGCGCGCTTTTGGCCAAGCGCGCGTTGATAGATTTTTGTTAAAACGCTCGTTTTACGGGCGCTTTAAGATATATGTGCTGCCATGTTGTTGTACATTCGATCGCGCGCTTTCGGGTAGAGTGGACGTACGTTGGCCGAAATGGAGAACGATCATTTCAATATTGATCTATTTATTGATGAAATCTAAAAGAGACCAGCCATCGTCAAATGATTTTATAGATATTCTAAAAGAATTTAAAAATTTGGGTTCATATTGTCTTAGTTTTCGATACAACGTCACAAACATTCCATGCGTCAGTCTATCTCGTAATATTGGGTGCACCCAAAATTTTCTTTGCCTCTGCCATCTTTTATAGCGACGATGGAGGAGGCGCACGCAAGCAATTACTTTCACGTCCATTTCCAAACTGAGCCAGTGCTAACGCTCCACTAAACGGTCGTCGAACGCCGAGCTAACGCGCGGTGTGTACGCTGCTAACGCGCGTTTAACGCAACGCAAAACGCCTAATGTGTACATAGCCTTAAACAATAATTATCTTTAAACTTAGAACGTATGTATCTCTATCAAAGAAAATTGTATATATAGCTCAATAATAATAGAGCATAAAGCTTGGATGGACAATATACCACCATTCACTACAAATTCAAATTCACGAAAAGAATAACGAATTTGAGTTTGTCATATGGCCAGCTGAGGACATTACTGACGTAACTCCTAAAATGCCGTTTTGAGATAATTGCATTCATAGCTTTGTCGAAACTTCAATCTTTCATTCTTATTCAACTATTCGAGTAATTCAGTTGTTTTTTTTCCTTTGTAGTTAGAACACCTTCAAGTAACATAAGATGGCTTTTTTACACATTCAAGTTAGTGCCTAATTTTTTATTTTAGTTTCGGGACTAAAGCATTAAAATTTGGATAAGTTTTGAAGATTTGTGGCGAGACACTGATATGACACATACTTTTAACTACAAGTGATTGGGAGTCTTATGATGCATATAACTCAAAATTGACAATTTCGGAGACATATCACTAATATTTTCAGCTGGCAATCTCTCATTCGGATATCGATTTGAAATCGAAATTTTATTGTTATTGCTAGAAGCAGATAGCTTCTAGCAATAAAAATAAAAATAAACTACTGTATATTTTCCTATATACTTTCCTAATTGCCTTTGTCGATTTCAAATCGATATCCGAATGACCTACTGATGTATGTTGCTAAGTAACTCTCCTTTTCTTGTCTGTCTTCAATTTGACTATATACCAAATCTTTAAAAGATATTATTTACAACTTCTCATAATTTTCAAAGCATAGTGAGGAAAAAAGACAGATCAACCGGACAAACATTTATGAAGACCACTAGGATGTAAATCAGTCCGACTGAAATCGAACCTATATCTTTCAGGGCAATGTTGTTATACATTGTTTTAGCCGCATTGGCTGTCTTTTTGCATGCAAATTTCACTTCTTGTTCACTAAAACATTTATGGCTATAGATTTCCCGTCCCTGTTCCTTAAATTTAAGTATATAAGATCAAGCATTTCGTAAAAAAATATACTGTACAATTTAAGACAAGAATCAGTATCTTTGTTTTTCTAGAAGTTTTATACGTTTTATAGATATTAATCAATGTTTTTTTCTACCTTCAGAAAACTCTTAAGGTCCCGAAAAATTTTAAACTCTCTCAAACAGTTCAGTTAGTGAAAAAGAAGAGTGATAACGAAAATAAAGTTTACGTAAGTCATCCTTACAATTAACAATATAAAACAAATACCAAAAAAAAAGAAAGAAAAAAAAACAAGAAACGTTTAAAATATTTCATGCTTATTTTAGAATGAAGATAAAACTTAACATATCAAGTATCTACCTCATTTAAAGCATTTTGAACTGTCTAACAAGTTCTCGTTGTCCAAAAGTGTCTTGGACCAAATTTGTGAGATGTGTATTTATTATTTTTTATAATCAATTGAAAGTATTGGCAGCTTTGCACTTTATTTCTGTAGCTCTTAGATTGTAAATATCATCAAATGCTACTTTTCCTTTTAATTTGTATTTATTTGAGAATAAAAATGAATTTTATAATATAAATGTTGATAATTATTTAATTCATACAATAGTAAAGCAGAGTTATCAAAATAACATTTCTTTTTTAATATATAATATGTAGAATAAACCTTTGTTTCTTATAGGAAACTGGCTAAAAAATAAAACTTGTTATTATCAACTTAGCAATATGTGTCACTAGATGTTTTCTTCCTGAAAGAGTTATCTTCTTTTCAAGTTATTTCCTTTCTTTCAAGGATGTTCTAAACAGAAATATATATATCTTATGTTTACTTCTTATCAACTAGTGATGATAACTTATGCATGGCTCTCTATAACAAGATAAAACACTCATTACAAAAAAACTGTGTTCAGAAGTTTACAACATAATCATATCCTATTGTATATATATATATATATAATTTTCTGTAATATTCATTTTTATGCCTTTTTATTAAAAAGAAAATTGTCAAATATCTTTCTACATCAAACTAATCAAGAACTGATAAAAGATCTCTGCAGAGTTTTTAATAATACAAACACACAAAAATATTTTTAAAAATTTATGGTGGTTTCTAATGTATTTCTACTCCATTTTAGACTTTAGTTTAATTTATAAGCAAATTGTAAATTGAAAAATATTACAACCAGCAATTATTTATTGAGATTGTCACAATACTGGGCTGCAATTTTTAATGATATTTTTAATTTAAAATATATGCTCTTTTCCTCAAATTAGTATCTTGCCCCTGTACATCATACTTTTCCTTTAACAATAGAGCCCTGCTGATCATTATTAGCTGCTTTCAGGAAAAACTTTTAAATTGAAATAACACGATTTCTGGTGCAAATCAGGCATTCATATATAGTCAATCGGGGCCTTCTGCCCCTAAGTTTTCCATATCTGGTCTCGCATTTCATCTATCTAATTTTGTTCTCAAGATTAAGGAAAGACGGGCAATATAATTTTTTCAAATTGCAATATAATAGACAAATTAACATGTAGATGGCTATTTTGTGTGGTAATCTTAAAGCTTCAATCATTGTTTTATAGAGCAAGATATATTTTAATTTATTTTCATTCAACAAAAATACAATTTGAAGGATTCATGAATTAAACTGTCTAAGAATCAAAATACTTAATTATATTTTGGCTGATTATATGATAAAGTTTATTTCATAATTTATCATTCAAACTTTACAGATGTTGATGGATATTGAGTGGCTAAGATTTATTCACATTCAAGTTCAGTCTGTATATTTATCTTACGATGGAGTTTCTCATAACAGCAGGAATATCTTTAATATCAAGTCAGATGTACGAATGAAGTGACTGATTTATTGTGCCAATCAATCTCCTATGAAAGTGTATATATATACACACACTTGAAACGTAAAAGTGTAAACTTAAATAATGCAATTTAAAAAAGAATAATCTAATCAACAACATGGCTATTTTTGATTTGTATATATTATATATATATATTGAGTATTACTTCATTAGAATTGAAGGAAACCATACCTTCTCCTTCTATGTAATCTTTGGCTACAGTATTACTGTCTGGCAAAGAAATAATTCCACTTAATTCTATAATATAAATAACAAATTTCATAGAGAATCATTTCCCATAATTACAGTAATACCCCGAACTTACGCGATAGGTGGGACTGAGTGATAACCATATAAGTTGGGGTATAATTTCGCAATTTGTGTAAAATCCAAGTCGGATGTATGTAAGCTAATAAATGTTTTCGTTAATCTTATCTCATCTTTGATTCGTTTACAGTTACAAGAAATCACCACATAGTCTCTCTCAAGTCTCCGTAGATATAACAAACACAGAAATAAATAACACAAAATAAATTGTAGCTATGTGTCGATTCCGCGCGACACGTCCCAACATGTAAGCTGAACAATAGTGTAGGGGAGTGAGTAATCAAGAGTTGCGTGGCGCTCAAACAAAAGACAAATCGACAAGATTTGAAAATCACATAAATCCGAGTTCACGGAAGTCAGGGTAGCGTAAGTCGAGGTATTACTGTACTAAATAAATGAGCAAAAAGACTTGTACTGACTCAAAGGTTCTCACAACAAAGAAAAAAAACCCATTCCTTGCAATGTCCTGGGGTCCTGAACATTGACCCCTCCCTAACAAAAGTCATATGGGCCAAGCCAGTGGTGCACTCACAATATACTTTTGGGGGAACCTAGTTGAATGGATAAAAAAATTTTTAACGTGAATTTAATAAAATTCCCACCTTACGTGACCACTAATTCATTAGTAGTAGAGAAATAGAAGACACCACAGAATATAAATAAAAAAAATAAATTTTGATTGCAAGATTCTGGAAAATTTTCTACTGTTTGTTTTCTTTTTTACTTTGGAGGGGGCCAAGCCATATACCACATCTGATGGTAATGGACTCCTCAAATTAAATTTATAAACAATCTTTATTACATAGAAGATAAAATATATTAAAGATTATATCTTATTATATGTATATTTTTATATTCACAAAACTTTTTTCTCTCTTCTATCGTCTTCAAAGAAAATTATTCTTGTAAATTACAAACTTACTACAACACCTAAGCACTTTCTGAGAGAATAATTTTTTTATTAACAATTGTAAAGTTTTGTCTACAATGAAATCACTAATTTTTTGATTAATGTATTTAATATTGAAATATATAGATAGGTCTTAGGATGCTTTTAAAATAATTTTTAACAAACTTAACACAAATTATGACAGACACAGAGAAATATTAAGAAATAAATTCAAAAAGCAATTATATACAACATTTAATAAAATTGTGATAACTTTTTTTAATGTTAATTAATAAATTTAAATTGTTCTTTTAATTTCAGGTGAATTATTTCAGTTACAATTACAAAATACTCGTCATCAGATTTTAGTAAAATAAATAAATCAATGCTGTTAATTGTTTGAAAGCAGTTTCTGTATTAGAAAAAAAAAATTAAACCATTATTATTTTTATTATAGAAAATAGCAATTTTGACCTTGTGCTCAAACAGCACTGAGGTAGAGTCATTAACATTGAAAATATACAGAAAATTTTTTTAATTTATTCAATTGTTTTTTCATCAAACTATGAAATATTTGGATATTTTACTCTGATTCTAATTATATATGAAGTGATTTTATGTTATCCATCTTGAAAATTTGGATTAGGTTTGATTCAAGATAGTTGAGCTTCTGACTACTATGCAATACAATTAGTTCTTATAGTGTTGGATTTTCCTTTATACAACTTACAATCTTCACCTAACTCTGATATTCACTCAACTTTTCAAATGATTATCTGGAGATAGCTGTTGAATGGTATACTTACCAGGCTGTCAATGACACTGTATATTAGTGGGATTTTATATACTGTCCACTTAAATAGTTCTGATAAATGATTTTGTAATTTATTTTATTTTACCTGAACAATTTTAAAATATTCATTTTGAAGACTATACAAGTATATGCAACATGAACTGGAACACAAGCATGTTTTATATTGCAGAAATTTTCATTATTAATTATTATTTCATTAATACTCTATGTATGTAATATATATAATCATACCCTAAATATAAATGTGTACTGGCCATAAGACAAAGCAGCAAAGTTGTATAAAGATTCAGATCATAAATAATCCAATCTGAATATGTTAAGCCTCATTTAGTGCCTTAATTAATAATAGAATATTTTTTAAAAATTTAGAAAGCACATATTATATGATTATTTATAGTTATTATAAAATAATCATTTACTATTATACTGTACTGTCAAATTTTTTAAATTCTTTTTGTCCTAAGAGCACTAAAGAAGACCTTTTTTTTAGTGAACCCACTATGAGTTCATTCAAGCCCACAATCTGGTGCAGGTGGTGCGGGGTTATGCCTAACACATCCAGACTGACCACCCCCTAAAAATTTCTTGGGGCTTTTCAACCCATCTAGGTTTGATCCAGATCCTCCAGAATGGTAGGCTGTCACCTTAACTGCTTGGCCATGCAACTGCAACCTGTCAAGTTTAAGTTGTGCTATAATCTTAAGCAATCATAAACTGGGCATTAGAAGTAATTTATTTTCTTGAATGTGCCTCCACATCATTATGACAAAAGACACCTCACAGCATGCATTTTACAGTGCTGTATGGGCCCACCACCAAAGTGTTTTAGCATCATAGTATTTGCAGAGATTCACCCATCATGGTGCAAGAAAGAATTGGAATTTGTTCAAAAATATAATTTAATGCCAATCATCTTAAGGACATTATCAGTAGCAGGATGGTGACATGGATTAACAATAGCTAAAGCAACAAGCAGCAAGTGAGAAACCATACTGCAAACAGCATCAAATAGTGTGCTTGGACACCCATTGATACATAACAAACCCACCACTGTTACACTAGGATCAATATGATATGGTTCAGTCCATCACTGCCATATGCATGAGATGTCTGTCCTCCTATTCATTTGTGCATTAGCGAGACGATTTAAATAGATATGACTCTTCTATCCACAAATGCCATATTCTCATCACTGTGCTCACATTCAACATGAACAATGTCCCAAATGGATAATCCACCTCTGTTTGCACAAAGTCAAAAGTTAAACATATGGCACACTTTCTCTTCAACAGGACAGGTTTAGTTCCTAAGAGTAGACCACAGTATCATATAGTACTGGGACTGCCAGAAATCATTGAATAAAGTCTAGAAATCTGCCCTTTGCAATTGTCCAGGTAAATCTGATTGTACCTAATGGAGATTATACAATTTGATTTACATATCTTTTTGGTTTGTTTTTTCTGTATTGTTCTGTTTGTTTGTGTATGTGTATGTGGGAATTACAAACACAAACAATTATTTTATTACTGACTGTCTCAACTATATTTATAAAACTACTCATTGTTTGTTCCTCCTGGCAAAAACTTGAGATATTAAAATAAAAATACTAACTGTTTTGTTTTAAGCTCTCTTTATTTCTCAGTTTGAATTGTCTCCTTAGTCTTTACTAATCTTCATAACATTTCACATTTTAATAATACCTGATGACTCTATAAATGAAATTTTTATATTCTATTAATAATTGGAGAATGCTTCCCTATAAGTTATATCATTTTATGAAAGTAAAGTAAATTTGATACATTAATATCAGTTTTCATATGCAATTTTTAAAGTAATTACATCTTAAGTTGGGATGGATTTTGAGAGAGACAATATCTTCTATAAGATAGGTGAAATTACTTCCATAAGATTTTTATTGCAAACAGAAGCTTCATTATTTCTTTAAAATACTATTTATGTTTTAAAACTTTTATAATTTCTATTCAATTTTGTTACATTTTTTGTTATCTTTATATAGTTTATTTTAAGAAACTACTAAAGCAACAGAACTTTTAAACATTTATTTATTTTATTACAAGAATTAAAAATTGCAACCTAAGATTTGCTCCTGGATCCATCTTTGATCACATTATATATAATAAATTTTTATAAATATGAAAAATTTTGTAACTAATAAATTAATATATTCTAATAATATAAACAGGGGTGGCCAAATCTTATCTTGACAGAAACCATATATTGACTATCACACAACATAACAGTCAGCAAACTTACAGAAATATTACATTTAGGTTATAGTATAAAGAAATACAGGTTAATAATATGTACCAAGTTTATAAAAAAAATTATATAAAAGTGTATGTAAGGTCTAGAAGAGCCATATATGGCTTACAAGATACAGTTTGGCCACTGTGAATATATTTTAAAAAATTAATTATCATCTATTGTTTCAAAAATGCAAATTTAACACCCAAAAAAGCATTTTGTCTTAATTTCAAATTAAAATGTTTTTTGTTTTCTTTCTTTGTTATATTTGAATTTGTGATTTGAAAATCACTTTTTGAGATTTACAAAGCCTAATGCTTTTTTAATTAATTAATTTTTGAAAACTTTGTTTCTCAAATACATTAATATATTTATTTAAGTACATTAAGGAAATGATTATTTTAAAATGCAAAGAAAATCAACTTTATTATAAGATATTAATAATTTATTCAAATCTATTATACAGAGAAAAAATAATTATATACACCAAATAAAATAAAATGAAGTATTTATAATTTTATTATAACTGAGAAGGTAATTTTAAATAATTATAAACATACAGACTATTATTAGTGATATCAAATTTAACCATGTCACTGTTTTCTAAGAAAACTTCAGGAAAAAAAATTGTTTATCTTTTATATAATACAGAAAATTCACTACTACCAGTAACAGAATTCTACTTCAAAAAAATATTAATCCTATACATAGTTTGTAATGTTAAATTTACAAAAATTCTAAATTTAAAATAGCATTTTCTAAACATTTGCCAAAAGAAGGAAATAGTAATTGAGCATAAATGCATTCTATTATTACTAATTAAAGTTAATAAGAAGAAAAAGTTATATTTGCTACGTTTAATTTATAAAATATTTTATAAGAATTAAAATATGTAGTTCCCAAATTCACATATATAAAACACCAATTTAGTTAATGACATGTTGAAGTATGTAACAAATATTTCATATAAGAAATTCCATCTTATCTTTTCTGTAAAAGTTTAAACCTGGCTTCTGTAATAAAAAATATAAACATAAATCTTAATAAGCAATTATAAATAATAAATGCACTAAATTCTGGATAATATTCAAAACACTTACACAACCAAATATTCAGCTCATGAAATACAACAATGGAGCAAAATTAAGATTGATTGCTAAAAGCAATTGAAAACATTTGTTTTTCTCCATCATTGCTTTTCATGAGCTGGTTTTTTGTTGTAATTTTTAGCAAAGGTAATGTAAAAATTCCAATGACAAAGTTAAAAAGAGCATCATTTAATTTGTCTAAAACCATTTTCTGTATTCAAATAAATACATTTAGGACTATATAATTTTCAAATTTAAATTTACATTGAAAAAGTGATTTGGTCTTAGGTGACTTTTCAACATCACATAAGAGGGAGACATCACACTTTTCAACACACACATCAACTTTATATGTATATATACATTCAATTTTGGTTATTAGCCCGGTCGGTTAGTAGAACATGCCGAATAATATTAGGACAAAACATTCAAGAATGGAATCAAATCCTATAACGCAAGCATAATTTACTTCACCTAATGGCCCCAAAATGCCACTTATGAATTTGGATATTTTCAGCTTTTCTATAGGCAATCTAGAAAATGGAAAGATTCTCTTTCCATTTTCTAGATTGTAATACAATGATTTTTTTTGTACAGAAATAATTTCTTGTCATTAACATGGTTTTATTGCACTCAGATGTTTGTTTTATTGGGTATAAAAAATATTTACCTCTATCTTGGCACATAGATTGGGTATTTGGCTAAAAGAGAGGAAATTGATTCAACCAGTGCAATTTGCTTTCCAACCTCGGAAGAGCACTTTAAGTAATATTTTGATTCTCCACTCCATTATTTGCAGACAACTATCAAAGAAAAGACAAAATTTACTTGCAGCATTCATTGACTTTGAGAAAGCCTTTGACAGTGTTGTTTTGAAGATTTTGTTATTTAAATTAAAAATGCTTGGAATCTCTGACAAGTTTATTGATATTATTCAATGTTTATTTTCAGGATTGAAGGCAAGGGTTTCTACTAGTGCCGGGTCTACAGATGCTTTTTCATTAGAAAATGGTTTACCACAGGGTGATTCCTTAAGTCCGATATTGTTTATTTGTTATGTTAATGATATAGTACAAGTTTTTGATAATTTAAGTAAAGATTCCATTTCTCTGGGAGACTACGAAGTCCATTTACTTCAATTTGCTGATGATACAGTGGTGTTATTCACCACCCCGATTTATCTACAAAGGAAATTGGACAGGTTATATAATTATTCCTCTAATTTGGGTTTGAGTATTAATTTATCCAAATTGAAAATAATAATTTTTAGGCATGGTGGAAGGTTGAGAAAAGCTGATAAGTTTTTCTTAAATGGTAAAGGAGTCAGTATTGTTAATGAAGTTATATATTTGGGGATTCGTCTCTCAGCTACTGGCTCGTTCCAAAATTACATTTCTTACGTTAAAGGCAAAGCATTTTCCAAAATAAATGTTATAATAGAAATCTTGAGAAGGGTTAAAAACAGTCATATGGCTTTGTGTAAAAAACTTGCCGCCTCTCTTTTTACTTCGAGTTGGTCATATGGTTTGCTCTTTTGGGGGCCTTTTTGTTTTGAGGGTATCGACTCTGTAGAACTGATGTTCTTTCGTCGCCTGTTTGGTCTTGAGAGGTCGATCCCATCAGATGCAATCAGATCTGAATTGGGCCTTGAGTTTCCCCGGAAACGCTTTATCAAATTAACCTTAAATTTTCTGAGAAACATAATCTCTGACCCATCATCCTTGGAATGTGAGGCTTATTCTACATTGAAGAAGTTTTCATCGAAAAGATCGCTCAAATTCTGTTGGTTTACTAAACTAGAGAATCTATTTAATAGAATAGGTATCTCACTCTCATTGATAGATTCCTCTCCAGATGTTTTGAAATATTACGCAGATACAATTTTACAAGAGTTTGATAGCCTTTTCTTGAGAGAAGAAGGAGACAGGATTCTTAAGGCTAAGTACCATTTATGGTACCCAGAAATATTAGACAACAACCGGTGTTTTTACATTTATTATCAGCAGCTACTGTTTATTGTTAAAAAAACAATAATACAGATTCGTCTAAACAAGTTTCGTTTAACAGGGAAACAGTTGTGTATTGATCTACGTTCACCGGAAATGTGTCCGTTTTGTAAGGAATGATATGCGACTTTAAATCACTACATGTTTGACTGTAAGGATTTTGAATATTTGCGTCTATTAACACTTTCTAGCAATGCTTTTTGTACTAATAATGTTGTGTGCAAAAATCCAGAAGACAGAATTCATGGATTATTCTCTATCAACGACTCAGTAGAGTCTATATGGAATAAATATAATTTTTTGACCAAACTTATTAATGTTACCCCTCCTCCTAAAAATTAATTTTATGTATGGAGTTTTCAATAAATAAATAAAATAAATAAATAAAATAACCTTGAACACTGCAATATTACAATAACATTAAGAACAAGTTACAATTTTAATACACAGAGAGAATGTAAATATCAGCTTACTATGATATAATAATACAGATTACATGGTATGTGAGGACTCAATACATATAAATGGGAATACCTTTTTATTTTATTTTTTTATATAATCTAGAATCTAAAACTAAACTAATACTAGACAACTAAACTATGCACAGAAGAATTCTACACGATCGATCAATCAATCAATCACTGATAACGTCACTTTTCCATTTTTTTCACTGTCTTCCTGCTCATCTTGTCTGTTCTTGTTTACATTCTCAAGAATTTTTTCTTTCCTGTAGAAGTCTGGCAGAAGAGCCCTGGTGCTTTCAATAAACCTTTCAAAACACTTCCAGAGATTTTTCTTATCAAAAATGTTTTATAGTGTTGGTGGTCAATTATGACCTTCTTGAATGCATTCCCTATAGAATGGAATGCATTCAAGAAGCATATCACAGACTATTATTAGTGATATCAAATTTAACCATGTCACTGTTTTCTAAGAAAACTTCAGGAAAAAAAATTGTTTATCTTTTATATAATACAGAAAATTCACTACTACCAGTAACAGAATTCTACTTCAAAAAAATATTAATCCTATATNACTTCCAGAGATTTTTCTTATCAAAAATGTTTTATAGTGTTGGTGGTCAATTATGACCTTCTTGAATGCATTCCCTATAGAATGGAATGCATTCAAGAAGCATATCGTTCACAGCGGAATATAAAATGTATGGCATCTCCTACACTATTATTGTCACACCGGCATTTATTAGTGTTTCTCTTCTTAAAGCAGTAGAGGTAGGCCATAAAATTGCTGTGCCGTGTTAAACATTGGGTGGTTTCAGATCTAGGTTTGTAGTAACTAGCTTTGATGAGTAATAGAGGGAATAAACTGGTCGCAAAGTCTCCCCATTGTAGAATTATTCCAATTTTCCTGCATTCAATTAGTGCCCATTCATTTAAGAAATTTTTCAGTGTTGATTTTGGTAACCTGGTATATGTATCCTGCGTCTTGAGAGTACCAGCCATTTTGGTCAAAAAATCAGCCAGTTCGTTTCCTTTATGTCCTTTATGAGCTGTGTAGCACTTCGTGGCTATTATTGTATTATAAATTTTTTTGTTTTCCGTTTATGTTGCGTCATGTGTATGTTTTGTACTATTTCTTTCCGTTTCCTTCCTCGATACCACCTGTTAGCCGATGACTGGGTTTTCCAATATCACATTGGTCCGTGACAAAATCATGTGGGACAGAGTGACGTAGTTGGAGGGAGATGTAAAAGCATATGTAACAGATAAAAAAGGACTTTTGGTTTTCCGCTTCGAGAGAGTGCGCCATGGATGGAAGGAGAGACAATATGGGACTGAGAAGAGAGTCGACCGTCGATAGAGTTTAAGAAGTTGCGGCGCGAAAAGAAAATCTGTTTCCATTGAAGCCAACGATTGTACCGTTACGGAAGAAATTTTGCAAGTCCCTTAGGTACTCTGTTTCCCAAAATTTATTTGTAAAAATTTTTTTTTTATCTGTCAGATTTATACTACTTGTCAGGCAAAGCAGGGCCTCATGTGAGGCAGGAAATTTGGAAGGGGGAATATAAAGCAAATTTGTTATTGTTACGCTATCTGTGACCGGTATTGAACTGTATCTTGGTATTAATATTGTACTGTGTTTTTCGACTAAAATAAATTTTTGTTTATCTAGTTACATGTTTCCACTTACTGTTCATTGTCCTTCCCTTTGTTCTTTTCCTCGTTTGTCTGAAACCGCAGACCACGTGCCTTGCAGAGTTTACAGCTAGTATCCAACTGAATTGAATATTGCGGATAGTACTGAGATATTGTGCTACTTTAATAACTTCTTTGCCCAGTAGTGTGATGTTTTCAGTTTTTGCCAAGACATGAAGAACCACGTTACTGTCAATAAGGAATTTTGTTACCTTTGTATTTATTTAAGTTATCTTTTATTTGGGTGATTGCTTTGTATGTGGCCCATAGTTCAGCTTGCGTAATGCTACAATGTTTAGCAAGCTAGGTGTAGTTTGAGGCATATATCATTACTAGTTCTATCAATTTCATATTTTTTAATAATATCAGGTATATTTGAGTAGCTGTTTGGAATCATTTTATTTTTAATACGTTTTTCAATATCCTCCTATGTGTAACTGTATAGTCGAATATTAGTACAGAGCCAATTTCAAACTGTTTTCCTTGCTGTGATATGTATTGACATTAGTCCAGCCAGTACCAGTATTGCATCTGTAGGGGCTGTTCAATAAGCATGAGTAATCTTTATTGCTACTCTTCTCTGTATCGACAGTAATTTTTTGCAAATGTGTGTTGTTAAGTGCATCTTGCCATACAGGGACAGCGTATAAAATGGCTGGCTCAATTACCATCTTATAAATTAATTTGCTGAGAAATAGGAAAATTAATTGTGCCTGATTAAATATTACAGACATTGTACAATGTCCATATTACTATTGGCCATGGCAGCAGAAACCATATGGAAAACTAATTAAGTATGAAATATAAAAATATTACAAAGGATCATAATTTACTTGAACTTATGTGAAATCTGTCAAAAAAAACAGAATGTTCCTTTCTCATTAAAAATTTTAACCATGCTGATTTCCAAAAACCAAGATGTTATTAGTATTACAGAGAGTCAGTGACAAAGTAACAACAGTTAATTCAGAAATAAAAGAAAAAATAATAGTGTGTCTAAAACAAGGAAAATGGCATTGTCTAACCTTAAAAAGCAAGCAGTAAAAAATTATTGATACATGGAATTCCAAATACCCAACAGCTAATGTTGGTGACAGAGTAAGGATTCGTATGCCAGATGTATATGGAGCCTGCAGTGATGAAAAAATATTTTAGGTGTTGTTGCAGTTGAAGGTAAAATCCTTTACAAATTGAATACCAAACATGGCATACTAAATCTATTATATTTCAGAAACCAATTTACTGTTTGTAAAGAAAACTTCATTTCTGTTGGAAATGTACCAAGTGAAGAAATTTTTCTTAGAGATTGTGCAAGAATGTCATCACTTTCTAGAAGCCAAGGCTATAGTTGATGCTGCTGAAAACTCAGTTACAAATCTAATATATTTTTCTTGATAGAATTTGTATCTATTATGTAATTCCAAATGTCATAAAAATCTTAACTACTCAAATAAATAAATTTAAAACATTTAATTTTTTACATAATTTATACCAAAAACAGATATTTCAGAAGTTTCCTTTAAGTTGATTTTTTTAATTGAAGTATAAATTTGTTACCTTTTGTTGACACTAGTTTAATTGATACTAATAATATTTACTTTTAAAAGATTGCATGTTGTTTTTAAAATACATTAAAATAATTTTTAATGAAAAAGTGGAATTTTTTTAAAATCAAATTGCCCAAAGGGAATGTAGCTGTATTCATAATGTCTGGTCAATTTAATAAATTAATCAATATTTAACAGGCTGTGTGACTGTCTTGTTATTATTCATAACAACTAGGCATTATAAATAATGCCCTATTAGTCACTTGGTCCATAATATTGTAATTCAAATTCTTCTCTACTGGATTAATAAACAGATAAACCAATTATTAACCCATTCTCAAATTAAGTCATCAATAATTTATCTAAAATTCTTGCCTGTATCTGATAGCATGTGTTATTTATTTCATTATTTTATGACATATTTATGTAATGAATCAGCTTGAATCCATGCTAAACTTTGATGAAATTTGATTTCAGACATTGCTAACATGATCATGTTTTTGAAATACAAGTCTGGTTGATTGAATTGCATCATCAGCCACTTATTCATTAAGCATGAAAAACTCTGTGCCAATGCTTTTAGAGATATCACTTTTATCAAGTTCTATGCACTCTCTACCAACTAATTTAATTCTAGAATTCTGAATCTTCACAATTCCAGAATTATTAGAGTTTTTATTTTTAGCTCTAACACCATACAATAAAGAAGTTTTAGATTATTTCTAATCATTAGTACTTAACAGCCAGATGTCAGTTACCTTAAGAATTTTTCAAGAATGGTCTGCCCCAAATATGTTGTGTCCCATTCTTCACTACCATCTAGCTGTTCCATTGTGCACCTGCACATGATGAGTGTGAAAAAAAACTCTCTTATTGCCCACAAATGTAATAATAAAACAATCACAAGTAATTAATAAATATTGTTAGATTTTGGTAAAATTAAATCTTTTAAATTTGTACACACAAAATTTTTGTGTTTTTTTTTTAAATATACAGCATAAAGCATTTATTTTCAGACATAGTCTCACAACAGCATTTGAATAAGATGGGTTTGAAGAGAATTTGAATCAATGAGTTGGATAGAATCTAGATTTTGGATATTATACAAGTTCTTTTAAAAATTAATGTCAAAATGCTCCTCAAGGAGTGTTCATTTTATTTAGTCCTATATGAAGTGATATAAACTGCAGATATGTTGAGAACTCTAGTACATTAGTTTGTAGAATGAACTGTTGTTATGAAATACTGCTGATTAATATCCTAAACCTGTTGATATTTTTCAGAACTGGAAGACAAAGTAACCTAGAAAAGAACATCCAAACTTAACTGATATCTAAAAAATTTAAAAAAAAACAGAAAAACATAATTTATTCAATTCACAAACTGTTTTTAATTGTCATATTTTTCTGTGAAAACAGAACATATAAGTTCAAAATATTGAACTCTGCAAATCTCTTATAAGATAAGAGCTGCTCATTATGAGGCCAAACATAAGGAATTAAGTATAAATGTTTCAAAATAAACTTGAACGTAAAATAAACTATCTTAATAATTGAGGAAATGTTTTGTATTTTGTAGCTATCATTAAAAAATATTTGTACATAGTAAACTCAGTAAAATAAAACATTGTTATTATTATTATTATCCAACTCCTCCTCCAAACTTTTTGTTTCCATTATATCTGCTGGAAACAAAAAGTATGGAGAAAGAATTCAATAATAATAATAATAACAATGTTTTAATCAAATCCACTGAAGTTTCTAGCTAATAATTCCTAATGTACGGTTAGCTTACTAAACAAGTTCTTTTCTACATTCTGCTCTTATACCATGTAAAAGAGAGAGATTCTAGAGTATTTATTGATATTTAATTAAAAATATTTAAAAATAAAATATAGTAATAATTTATTTATAAAATGTTTTATTGAATATCAAGCATCTTATTTTTCAACAGCAGATTAAAATAAAATTAATATTAAATCATCTCTTTGAAGCATTTTTATTATTTAGTCATTTGTACTTCTGGTAATATTTGGCTTTTTATATAAATGTGTAAATAAATATGTATGTATATGTCATTTTATTATATTAAACGAATAAAATTCAGATCATTTACTTCAATCATACAGATAAGATTTCCATATAAAATTAACATTTCTGTAATTTTCTTTTAACCAATAAAAATTAAAATGTTGTTTTTATATTATTGTCAAAGTAATATCTTGTTTAAATTTATTGAATTTATTTGAGTTTTATACTTCCTTGTATACAAAGCATTAGCTTTTATTTGTAATCAACCTAAATCACTACATTAAAAAATGTTTTTAAAATTAAAAGTATAATAAAGTATTAAAAATATGTACTGGTAATTGTGTGTCTGTGTATATATATACTACACTTCAAATAAAAGCTCTCTAAATAAATAGTAAAAAGTTTCTTTGGCAAGATATTAATCAGCAGTATTTCATTTGAATCCAATTCTTTAATAATGCACATTTCAATTTGTTTAATCAGTCTTTAGAGTCTTATCAGAAAAGATAAGACTCTAAAGACAGATTTCCATTTAGTACAGAATTTATACATATTATAGGATATAAAAATTCACAATTTCATATAATAAATTAATGCTTTTAAAAAATGTTTGATAATGGCAATTTTAAAAATGTACAAAGGCAACCAATTACAGTTAAAAAAAATTTTTTATACTAATTTTTTTACTAAAATTTCTTTCAAATGAACTATTTCAACATTGAGAATATATAAAAGCTAAACTATTTCTGAATTATATTGGGCTATATTACTACTACTATTATTAATTAATTAAATGCTAAGTAATTTGGCACTAGATGCAGACATTAGGTGCCATCTCCTGCTAAATTTAATAATTATAATTAAGTTAATATTTTAATAATTAATTTAGAAGGTTCTGGAAAAAAAATAATTGGTCTGAGCAGAACTTGAACCCACAACTCAGTACTACCAGTTATACTACCAGACCTTCATCCAATCCTCACTTCCAGAACCTAATTTTGACACAACCATTCTCACAAGTCAGTTATGTCTAAATTAGGGTCCTGCTTCAGCCTGAATCTTTTCTTCCAGAATCTTCTAAATTATTAAAATATTAATTTAATTATACTTATTAAATTTAGCAAGAAATAATGTCTAATGTCTTCCTCTAATGTCAAATTACTTAGCATTTAATTAATGATAGTAGTAATATAGCCCAATATAATTTGGCACTCATTTGGCTTTAATATATAACTATAGGGTTTGGATGTTTATATTTATTAAGAATATAGTTTGATAGAAAAAATATTCAGCAATTTCAGTTCATAAATTCTGAAATTTTATGATACTTACCTAATCTTTTAGAATAAGCATCTAGCTTATATGCAACTTGTTCTAATTTAGTAACACTTTCTTCCACTTGATCTATTTGTTCTAAATAAGGCTTCAAACATTTATCTAAAATTTATATAATAATATTTTTTAAATAAAGTTATTTCATTTTATTAAATATTTCTTCAAATACTATAAAATATACTTTTTATTATTTACATTTTTAAAACTACAATTAATCTGAAATATAACTATTGATAAATGTATAACTATAACACCTTGAATATGAGTTGCAACACATTTTTAAATACAATATCAATAATTAAAATATTAAGAAAACTTTCTAACTGCTTATAAAACAATATCAACAAACTTGTTTTTGAGTATTTTATTTATTCTGAAATTCAATAAATTTTAAATCTTCATATAAACAATCACATTTCTACAGTCTAAAATTTAAAAACAAAAATGTCTTTTAAAATCTCATTATCAGTTCACAATATTTACACTTAAAAAAATTTAGTTTAAAATTTTTGCAATTTGAACAAGAAACTCAAATTACATTTATTCAATATAAATTTTAATTTATTGCATACATACAGTATTACAAAAAATAATAATAAAATGAATTTTAAAAAATTAATAAAATAAAAATCATAATATAATATAAATGTTTTTCAACTTATTTTCACTTATAAGTAATCATTATTATAATAGTTTCAACAGATATTATGATATTTTAAAGATTAAAATAAGAATAAACTTCAAACAATTTTCATTTATAACTGTAATTAAAACAATGTCATCATAACCCAAGGAATATCTGTATTTTAAAATTAAATTCAATACTAAATATACATAATGTATAAATACAAACATTTTATTTGAATTATAAACTTCTAAATTTAAAATGTAAAACAAATACAAAGCAGATCAAAGAACAAGACTCAGTAATTTATATCAGAAATATTTTTGAATCTCTTATTGCATCAATAACTGCTTTCTTATAGAACAGTTTTCTAATCAGGTAAAACACTTAATTTGCTTAGTTTGAAATCTGTCCTACTGTAAAGCAGATGATGCTATATGGAAAGTTTAAAAATGCAGTGTAATATGCATGTTGTAATCTTAGTCATGCTTATTGCTGCCAATCGTTTAATGTTATCAGAATTAGTATTTTCCCAAAAAATATAAAGTAAAATATACTTACAATACTTTGTTTATTGTAGTCACAGTTTGGTTATTACCAAATGTTGTTTAATATTTTGGTCATATTTAGACTCTTAATTAGTGAGATGCAATTCCATTGGTTATTCAAATGTTAATATGAAAATGTGTAAATAGGCTCTAGCTTGGAAGTGTTAAGATAGCAGTTGAGGTTTAACATAACTCCATAACCCAAACTAACTGAAACAAAATGAAAAATAATATAACTAAATATAACTACCATATAAATAAAAATTTCTCTCTTGCTACCTCACATAATGATTGTGTTATCAGTTGTGTGGAGGCATATAATGCAAAAAGACAACCTTTACTTGAAGATAATAGAGAGGCTGCAACCAAAGTTTTCATCGTGAAAACCTGAACGTTGGACGTTCAAGTGCCACCATCCTGTAAGCATAGAAGTTTGACAATGGTGTTTGGAACGTCGAGCACAATCCGCTGATATTCCAAATGACATTGTCAAACTTCTAGGCTTTACAGGATGGCGGCACTGAACGTCTGACATTCACATTTTTGCAATGGAAACTTTGACTGCAACCTCTCTATTATCTTCAAGTAAAGGTTGTTTTTTTGCATTATATGCCTCCAAACAACTGATAACACAATCATTATGTGAGGTAGCAAGAGAGAAATTTTTATTTATATGGTAGTTATATATTTAGTTACTTATATTATTTTTCATTTTGTTTCAGTCAGTTTGAGTTATGGAGTTATGTTAAATCTCAACTGCTATCTCAACACTTCCAAGCTAGAGCCTATTTACACATTTTCATAGTACACATTTGAATAACCAATGGAATTGCATCTCATTAATTAAGAATCTAAATATGACCAAAATATTAAACAACATTTTTGTAACCAGACACGCAGGTTAAGTTAAATTTCATTTTTTTTTTTATCAGCATGTTCAGAATCTTACAAAATTTAATGCATAGAAGTATCACAAAAGTATCTTCTTTTTAATTAATGTTTTAATTGTATAGCATGTTCAGTATGGAAGTCACAATGTATAAAAGACCATTGTCAAAATGACATAGCAAGCTATCCTTAACTTCTACTATCAGTTTACAGTTATTGAATTGTAAGATTGATTAAGGCTGATTTAAGAATTTTTTTCTGCTGGGTTCTTTTCCTTAATCAAGTTATTTGAAATTTTGAGTAATTGTAATTTTATAAATTATATTAATAGACAATTTTATTGTTGTAAATACTTAACTGAAATTTGTAATATTCGAGTTTTATACTAATTATTATTGTTGTAATATATTTGATTTTGTAGTCTAAGTCCACTACTGACATAATAATATCTTCTACTTTAATTATTGGTACCAATTAACACAATTACTTAACCTTTAATTGCGATAAGACACAGATAGAGAAGGGACCTAATTTCTGGTTTAGCACGTGTGGCGACAGCTTTGGCGATAAACCCCAAAGTCGCCACAAGGGGGAACCCCTGACCTGACCTATGACATCACACACATTCTTGTTGGATTTGGACCTCTCCAGACGTGTGTAGTAACACCTCGTGTATTAATCTGTACAGTCGCGCCATAATTCATATATAGAATAAATGATAATCTTTTATTGTATGTGGCCCTGTTTGTAATGAGTAATTTCACACGAACCGGTGACCACAAACTGGTGAGCCGAACGTGATATATGTTTTATGGTGACTCTACCCGACGAAGGACTCTATCGTGCGACATGAAAATTCCATCCATTCGCATCGGATACAACGTTGGACTTTCATCCTTTTTTGGAACTGCCAACTCATACAACTAGACCTTCGAAACGTGTAACCACGGATAATTTTTCGTCGACGGTCGACTTTTCTCAACGAAAAGGTATAGTACACCACGTGCTACCCTTCTTTGTCCTCGCGCCACGTGCTACCCTTCTTTGTCCTCGCGCCACGTGCTATCCTTTGTTTCCTCGCCACGTGCCTTTACGTGCCATCGTTCTTTGTCCTTTCTCCACATGCTGAACTGCGCGCACAACGCATCATTTAAGGATAACTACCTCGCACTGCCACATCTACATAAAAAAAAAATCATCATGGCTGAGGCAGAAATCAATGACGATCACCGTCACATAGCACGCGTTGCGATCAGACCACCACCCTTCTGGAAGGGCAATCCTAACTTATGGTTTGCTCAGTTGGAAGCACAATTTTCGATAAATAACATAACCGTCGACGACACCAAATTTAAACACGTCATTGCTGCAATAGAGCCGGAAATTTTAAATTCGGTGCAGGACTTAATCCGCAACCTGCCCGACCAGAATAAATTTTCCACGCTAAAGGCTCGTCTCATTGACGTCTATTCGGAGAGCGAGACCTCCAAAATCAGAACGCTTCTTCAAGGGTTGGAACTGGGAGACCAACGTCCATCCTTCCTATTATCACGGATGCGCGACTTGGCCAGAAACCATTTCAGTGAAGACCTGCTACAATCTCTCTGGCTGTCGAGACTACCTCATAACGTACAGGCCATTTTAGCCGCATCTAAGGAAAAACTCCAACAACAGGCCGCCATGGCCGACAAGATAATGGAATTAGTCTCCCCCGCTCACATTCAAACGGTCGAACATGACCATNCGCCATAATTCATATATAGAATAAATGATAATCTATTATTGTATGTGGCCCTGTTTGTAATGAGTAATTTCACACGAACTGGTGCCCACAGCATGTCTTCTTCAACCAACAGGCCATACACAGCACATCTCCTATCAAAGGACCACCAACAGAACTTGGAATCGCCAGCGATTCTCAACCACTGTGCCATGACACTTTATTGTGCCACGAGATTTTTGAAGTGCGCCGCCACTGCGAATATCCATATATAAGCGATGTTAGACAAGTAGTTTAATTAATCAGTTCTACCTTCCTAGAGCACATTTGGAACTTGTAACCAGTGTTACCGGCAACTGCCCGTAGTTACTAAGACATTTAGAAAATGTGACCGAAATAACCAACTGTATTTAAAAATCACTGTTATGACATCACTGGTTGTTCTGCGGTACTTACCGAAGTAACCATGTGTGCTGCCAAATTTTTTAATTATTAATACTGTACCATGACGAAAAAAAGGTTGAGAATCACTGCTCTAGACACATCATAATAAAATACAACCAACACTTACATACCTTATATAAGGAAATATATGCAGAACAGGTACAAAAGGTCCCAATCAATATACACTTTTTTCAGAAAATTCAAGATCATCTAGATCATCAGGTTTGTCAAAGGACAAACCTGATGATCTTAGAGCGCCTGATGTGTACAGTGTTCTGGTGAGGGATGACAGATTCCAGAGGGATTTGGTGTACATTTGTGGATAACCCTGAGGTAGGACAGAGTCATACCCCTTTCAGGTCGCATTACAGGCTGGTTAAGCCTGCCCACTGGTCAAAGGATGGCTTGTTTATTTTTTTTCTTAACCAAGAATTGGGATTCTTTTTGTCAGATCAAGTGGAGGAGGTGAGAGAGGTTGTCGGTAAGGCGTTGGTGATACCCGACCCCATTTGAACAAGGAAACACAAGTTTATTAACTAACAAAATGAACAATAACAAACTAACTTCGGAATTATTGACTAAGTACTACTACTTGGGGGGGCCCGAGAGAGAGTTCACATAAAATTGGGGTTCATACCTCATTGACTGGGTAGATGGCGTGATGGGTCCTCACACACAGAAAGGTGAATTTGGATCCAAGGGTCAGGTCACAGGGCCTGTTCTGGCATAGGATGGTCATCTTAGCGATGGTATGGGCTCGGCTCTGGTTGTCATCTCTCGTCTTGACCTAGGTCCTCTTCTCACGACGAACCACCCTTCTTCCTTTGGATCACTCCCTGATGACGTTATTGGTTTACTCCAATCATAACATTGTAGTGTCTAGTTCCCGGTGATGCATTTCTGAGTTCCGTGAGGAAAGGAAATGACTCCAGGGAAGGAAACATAGTCATTCTCTCTGCTTTAAATAACCCTCCAGTCTAACTCTGAACAGAAACCAAAATTAAGAGGAAAAATATCACAGCAAAAATGAAAAAAAAACAAAAACATAGAGAATTCTTCTCACTTCTAGTCACTCTGGCCCTCACACATTGGTTCCATGAAACATTCCATTCAAAAAAGGATGCAGGAACACAAGTACGATATTGACAACAAAAAGCACACCACCACCCTATCCACTTATGCCACGGATCCAGAAGTGCACGCAGACCTACCTAACACCAGGCTAATAAAACGGCCTTTTCATACCAACTACATTAGGGCCCTGAAGGCCCTAGAAATATACCAGGCCAGCCTGACAGGCAAGTGTATCAATTTTAAGGATGGTAATACGATATCGTATGCCTGGCAATACTTGTGTGAGGACAATGGCAATACTAACAATTAAACAACTCATATCATTTACAGTTATGCGAGATCCTCAAATAATAAGTACATATGGGTGACCTTATATGTATATACTGAATTTGCATAAATACCACCATTAGGTTTAATTTTGATTTATATGTTCCAAAATTTTTTAAATTTAATGTATTTAAAAAACATTCAATTTTGAGCATTCTGTTTTTGGAATACAATTAGTTTAAGAACCTGAAGCAGACCTTAAGTAGGATCGAAAGCATTAGTTCAATATTGCATTAAATGCTATGTATGTTACTGGAATTAAAGGTTAAGTAATGATGACCAGTACCAACATTTATACTTTATTAAAGTTTTTGACATTATTATTATTTTTTATGAACTCTCTGCAATGGTTCTTTATACATTTTATAAGTAACTTATATAAGAATATTCATGTGAGAAAGCTTATGTTCACATATATTATTACTCATATGAGTAGAGTATTCTTAAATGAGAAAAAGACTTACTCCTAAAGAAAAGTAGAATTTATGCTTAACATTATCAATCTTAACCAATGCTTTACACGTTAAACATTAATTTTTCACAACACAATAATTTAAATTGTTTGGCATTTCTTATTTCAATTATACCATAGCTATTTTTAAAAACACAATATTGCAAAAAATTACCAAACAAAAACAAAGCATGAAGTCTGCAATTTGATTAATCTGATCATAGGTTAATCATGTCAAGGTCATCAAAAAATTTATGCATTACATATATGTGTATATTTGAAAAGGCTAGCTGTGCATTATTTTATTTTAGCTTTTAGAGTAGATTTATACTGTTTCTTTGTCTCTGTTTTCACCATGTTTTGGATTTCTTCTTTCTATTTTACTTATTAAATTTTGTAAATTGTATAAATCATTGAATTATAATTCTTTATTTTGAATGTTTTAAGAATATTTTTTGTTTATAGTAAACATCTGATTTGCTATAAAATGTTTACTACTATAGTTAAAATGTAGTTTTGTCCATAATTTAACTTTGACTAATTTTTATCACAAAAATTTATAAGAATAATGATAAAAATCCATTAATTTAAAATGCATCTATTTAAGAAAAAAAAAAATAATATTTTATATGTGGAATTCAATTTTTTTCAAGTACAAATTCTTGGAAGGCTACTAGACAAGACAGTATCACATTGCATATGATAGTGGTCTTTCAAGGCTCCAAATTTTCAACATATTTTTAATAAACCACACTTTTAAATGTTTCCAAAACTCATGAATTAACATCCTAAGAATGAACTGACCAGCAGGAAACCAGTAATATTATTGGTGAAATTTTGTCACAAAAACTGCTGTACACAACATCCAATATATATATATATAGTCTATCTTGCATGAAAGTAATTGATTCAAGGCAAGATTTGCAATTGCATTTCAAGTATGACAAAAGCACTGAGCATTTCTGAGTATCTCTGGGCTGATATAGATCCACAGCCATATAAATATGGCTGTGGACCTATATCAGCCCAGACTAATTTTTTTTTAATGCAGTGGAATCCATTAGAAAAAAGGAGATTTTTTGTGGTCCAAATGTGACAGTTATCACTGTCCTACAGGATCTTCCATGGTCACAACATATCCTCTTACATCATGGTGAGGAAAATCAACACAAAAGTCAGTTGGGTTTTCCTATCAACAGCAAGCAACTGCTGATTGTGGCTTATTTCATAAAAATAAGAATTAACCAAATTCCTTAGTATCTACCACACTGTGCCATATGATTCACTCAACTGCAATGACATTGCACATGCATTACTGAAGCCTCCAACATTATTCATTGACTGTTCAACAACAACTTGTGAAGTGATAAGTTTATGCTCTCAACCAGGCTGAACTTTGAGATCTCCAATTTCCTCAAATCAATTGATCATTCTTTTGAGTTAGTGGAGTTAATGGTCCTTCATCTAAATTCTTACAATGGCAAAATTTCCAAAGTGCAGCTACAGCATTACTATTGTTTTCTTAAAACAGCCTCATAAGAAATGCACATTTCTGTAAGGTGATGGCCATTGTAGCTGATAGGAATGATATCCAATAATTTAAGTTATTTTTATATCCTAAACTTGGCTACAATATGTGTGCTTACATATTTTCATCCATTTACAGAAAAAAAAAAAAAAAAAGCTGCTTTTTCATTACTTGCAATAGTAAGTTTTGGCATTAATTCTTCTTATAGAAGTGTCTTCCATATGTTCTAAAATGTCACCATACCTGTTGAATATCTGCTAAACTATTAAATATCTTGTCAGGCAGCACTAAATAGAGATACTTTAATTATGATCATTCAATACATATATGTTATGGTAAAAGTGATTAATCCAGTGATTATGCATAAATTTGGTAAATGTGATAAATTTCTTTCATATATTTCAAATTAATCACATTTACCAGTGATTATGCATATTTGCCAGTTCTCAGTGGTAAATATGATAAACTGTACTTAATTAACCAAATTTACAGGCCACTATGCATAATCACCAGTCTAGGATGGTAAATTTGAAAAACAATGATTCTGGTGATTAACTCTTGATTAAAAATTAACCAAACCCAGCAATGGAGTGAAAGATTAGATTTAGGTATCTTGTGAAGAATAGATCATATCATCAAGACATAAATATAGTCCTTATGAAGCCATATTTGGTTCACCATTAAAAGTTAGGTTGAAGACATCATCCCTTCCTAATGTTGCTGTAACAGATGTTTGCACCAAAGAGGAGCTACAAGAAATAATTGAATCACTACTTAAAATCAATGTCAATTAGAAGAATCCAACTTCAGAAATTTCAGAAAAATATTGAAAATGAACAGCCATTGCTTAACCAACCCAATGTGAATATCCCTAATTCTTCAATCAAAGTATAGTCTAGTATGGAAGTGATCAGTTTTTCTACAATCAAGAACAAAAAGAAAGAAGTTGAGAAGAAGCAAGTGAGTGCAAAGAAAGTTCAGAGGCTCAAGCAAAGAAACTAAAAAAAAATATCAGAGCTAAAGTTTGCTGTAGCCAAAGCAGGAGATATAGGCAAGCTAAGAATACCAGATGTGAACAGGGCAAGAAGTGATCCATGGAACATGGCAGTAATATTAGCTACTAAAGCATAAAAAATACTATCACTTGGGAATAAAGGAAACTGTTTATCACAATTGTACACCAGAAACTAGTTTGTGCTTTGTGACGAATAATTTCTTAGAGTAGAGAGAATGTACCAAATAACACTTTGACTCTTATATAGTACACAAGGAAAACATCAATTTTGGGAGGTGAGGGGTACCAAAGGTGCTCATGCAAAGGAAAGTATAATTCAATTAAATGCAAATGCAAGAAAAATAAAAAAAATCATGTAACTCAAAATGTCATTATAGTTTGTCATGTTTGAATAAGTAGTAACAATTATTAGAATTCTATAGTTTTTCCTAATAAATTTTTTGATATTTTTGTAGACATATTTTATCTTAATTAATATTGGAATTATGTTTTTTTTTGTTTTTTATATTCATTATATCTTTCTAATATTAAAACAAAGAAAAAATGTATTTTTGATTCATTTTATAAAAATTTGTTTAAATCCATGAGTTACTTTATTAAAGCAACAAAAGGTGGAAAATTTCCTAATAAAAAATTTATGAACTACATTTTGGAAATTATGCAAAAATTACTTTAAAAGTAATATATTCAATGATATTTATCAAATTTACCACATTCACTTCAGAATTATACATAATCATTGGTAAAATTTATCAAACTGCACCAAGATGATTGGTAATTATGCATAATAACCAGCTATGATGTATAATTTCAGTTAATCACTTTTACCGTAATTTTGATGTGATTACTTATTAATTTAGAGTAGAATGTTAAATATAAGTTATTTGCAATTGTAGGTATCAGTATCTATGTAATAGTGGCTGAAGAGAGTCTAGTAAAGACCAAAATGCATCCCACAAATAAAATTAGTCTTTATTGAACTCATCTTGATTTTCTAATATGCTAATACAGTTTGATAAGCCTCATATATCTCCACCATTTAGTAGTTTGAGATAATTATTTAACTAATTTTTCATTCATATATAAGGTATTTCAAGTTAATGGAGAAAGTTAGAATGATTACATATATCATAAAAATGTTTTTAAATGATACAATCTAGTTTAGAAACAGTAATAACTTTTTATATATAGTTTTATTTAAAATATAATTTATCATAGAGTTTAAGCATTGGGTATTCATATAAAATAAGATTAACATATTTTATTTATAATTTAACTGTTAGGCTTATTAATATTTCATGTAATTTCAAAAAAAATTATCATAAAATATTTATCAACTTACATTTTTCATTCAGATCTTTTAATGCCTTACTAACATTTGCAGCAATCTGTTTCATGTCTGAATATTTAGTTATGGTCACTCGATTCATTTCTTCTAATAATCTGTAGTCATCAAGTGTAGCTTAATAAGGAAAACAAAGAAAATAATAAAGTTAATGTTTCTCCAAAATAAACTGCATAAATTTTAATCAAAACTCTGTAATTGAAGAATTCAAATCTGGAAATCCATCAAATCCAGAAACTATACACTAAACCAGTAGTTCCCAAAGTGGATGCTACGGTACTGCCCCATGGGCAATGAGTAAATCAATAAATGAGTAAATTTGTAAAAGGGGACAAAAAAAAAAAGCAAGTGGCAGCAGGAGGGCACTGGAGACAGGTACTGAACAGTAACCATGGAGGGTTGAAGTCACTGACAACCTTTCCATTTTCTCTGTTAAAACAAGTAAGAAGAAACATTGTGTTTAATGGTTTCCAGATGTGGAGAACAATGTATGGTGTGAGATTTATAGAAAAGTTATTCTAAAAATATTTCCAAGCTTTTCTCAAACAATGGAAAATGGAATAGGTGGTATTGGATATAAGTTTATGGAACCATGGAGGTGATGGCTGAAAAAAGTTTGGGACTCACTGCACTAAACAAATAAAGGTTAAGATTATTTTTATGGTAGGAATTTTAGTTAATTAAAATTTTTAACACAAAACTAACGATGTAATTTAACATAAGAATAGTTAATTATATTACATTTTATAAACTTTACTACTTACATAAAATTAATTACAGATATCTATTGTATAACATGGTAGTTACATTCTGAAAAAGTGGTGTGTTAAGCCCTGGTCAAACTATGCGATTTCTAGCCGTGCAGGCGACTGCAACTGCAACAAACGTGAATCGCGTGCGTCTTCTCATGGTCACACATTGTTCGTTGATGTTGCAATTCAGAAACACATGACCCTATAATAAACCAATAAAATTACAGAAGCTTGTTTTTGACTACTTTCGTAAGTTTGCCGACATTTTATGTTCTACTTCAGAGTATTTACGGAATTTTAGCCACTTTTCTTATTAAAATAGCAAGCATTTCTGGAATGAATAAAAGAAAAAGGCAATTATTTTGATAGAGCTGGTGAGAATGCACGAAAAGATAAAATCTTTGATAAACGAAGAATTAAAATCCCACAGGTATTCGTTAGCCTGAATAAGCTTGATCAATCTCGATTCTGTAAAAGTATTAATCCTCTAACTATCAACCATGATGATGAACTATTTTCAATGTTGTCACTGATGACATAGCACAAAGGCATTTGTTGATTGGATGTGCATTTGCAATCGTCGCAAGTAGAACAAACTTTTTGTTTCTAGTTGCAGCTGCAGTTGCGCCGGTTTTCAAGGGGGGATTACTAGTTAACAGGAACAGCCATCGAGGTTGCAGTTGCCTGCGCGGCTGGAAATCATATAGTGAGACCAGGGCTTTATGCAAATCAGTGCTATACAAAACAAAGGACTAATGCAAAAGATAGGATTACATTCCAAAAGTTAGTAAAAGTATACTATTTTTTTTCATTACTAAAAGAAATATGTTTATTAAATCAATTTATAATTTATTTCCAATCAATAATTAACTAACAATTACAATTAAAATACTGTATGATGCATTAATATTAATTTTAGTTAAACAAGGGTGTTTTCTTTTTACAAAGTATCAGCAACAGTTTCATATTTTTTATTTTTTATCATAAAAATTTTTTATGAATGATGAAATAAAATTATGTTATTAATCAAAAATTTCTTCTAGCAGGTTGTTTGTTCAGTCAAGTACTGAGCAGTTTTCCAGAATTTATGTTTGAATTCCTAATTGTACGAGTACTGAGAAATGACTGTATTTCATTCATCATTCATAGCTAAGTAATATCTATGGTTAAAAAAAGTTAAATAACACTTACCTAAAACTGTTTAAATAAACTTTACTAAATATGAAGATTAATCTAAAAAGAAAACACAGTGACAGTCTTAAGGGCTAAAGTCTGAAAGCAAAGACAACAGCTGATTAATAGAAAAGTTAAATTGTTTTCTTCCTTGTCCTATTAGTTTTCATTAAAGTAAACCTTATGAAAAGCACAAAATAATTTGAAAATTACAATATTCTAAAATCCAAGGGCAAATTTGAGACATTCATATATGCTTACTTGAATAAAAAAAAATATTAAATAACAATCTTTACACTTAAAAATTGTGAAATTTTGTATGGAGTATTTCCAAAACTGTTAGAGCAAAACCATAAGTTGTGTTGTCTAGGGGATATCCCCAATTTCCAAACTGTGTTAGAGTGAAACAGTATTGTACATACAAGGGATACCTGTAATTATTATTAATAAACTTTGATGATACAAAATAATTTAAATATTTTTTATACTTATTAGAAATAGTTTTTAAATTAATATAGGAACATCTAGAGAGAAGATTAAATGTGAGATATAAGCTTTTAATAATTGTAATCCAGGAAAATATTCCATTATTCCAAATTATATTAATGAATTAAAATTTCAAGAAAAAGCTGAGTCAGAAAAATCTAGCACTGTATATCTGCAGTTAATGCTAAAATTACAAAATCCCATAAATAGTTATGATTCTATTCTGGTTAAGTGTATTTCAATTTTTTAATGAATAATGATTCTATTCATTTAAGAAATACTTGACAAACATTACAGTATATAGATTATAATCTATATACCAGAATAACATTAATAATTATTGTTATTTATATAGAAATAAATTTTAGTTTTCCAAATAATAATGATAAATTATTTAAATAAATGTAATAAATATGTGCATAGATAAAATACAGAAAAAAATATAAAAAACTTCAGAATTTCCTATATTACTACTAAGCCACATATATCATATAACAATACTATTATTTTTATTTATCCTTCCTTACCACCACTAGTATACTGATAATTTTTTCATATTAAAGAAAGTAATTTTATTCCTTAAACATTTTTTTTAAATGTAAAACTACTGTATTGTTAAAGCTAATAAATTAAATTGTTATGTATCTATTCAATAATATAAATTTCCTGCTTAACTTACATATTTCCTAATATAATGTCATCTTAGTATCTTTCTATTATTTCAAAAATATTCCGTCTCATTAACTTTCCATCTTTTTATTCTGTTTATGCATGTTTTTGCTCTCTATTTAAAAATTCATGAACATTATCTCATAAGAATGTCTTATAAATTCTATTTAAACTGGTGGTGAAAAATATTATTTACATTTTAATATGTTTTAACCACATTCACCATTTACCAATTGACATATAAATGAATCAATAAATTTTATATTACTGCTGACATTGAGTTTGTAGTAAAAAGCAAGTTAAAATAATTTATAATTTACAGAAATGTATTGAAATACTTATTTGTTTCTTGTTGTTCTGATTTAAAGCCTTGGAATTTATTTTGGTAATTACTTAATTGTCTTTTTAGAGATTTTAAATATTAAAAATTTTTTCTTTACAATACAGTAAAACTTTGCTTAACCAATGAAATTTCTCTGGAAAACTGCATAAGATTTATAAAACAAACTCCATATTGGTGATCATTGGCTATCTCACTTAATTGGCCAAGATAGAAGCATCCTAAAGTAACATTTATCCAAATTTACTTGGCCAACAAAAAGGAAAGAATCCAACCTTCTTAAATTCAAACTATTGTTTAAAGCACTTTAAATAGTATTGAGCATGTTGCTAAACTTTTGAAAAAGTTTGCTGATATCTGTATTAAACATTTAATAGGATTCAGTACAGTACCGATTCCAATTAGTTCTGTATGTAAATGTTTTCATAATTCTACTTAAGTAACCACCTCACTTTGGTGGCCATAAATTATATATCCTCTAAGCTTACTACATAAATGAGGTTTTACTACATTTCTTTTCTTCTAATTTACATTATATTATTACTGTAATTATTCTTTGTCCTTATTTGTAAAGCTTTTTTTAATTTCTATGAACTTCTGTACATAGCTTTTCATCATATGCCTTAATATCTAATTAATTAACCAATATATCATATAAATTCAAATGCAATTTTTTTTAATTATACAACAAAATATTGTTATACAAAAACCTTTTTCTCTTCAATATCTGTTTATGTTCATGATCAATTTACACTTTATTCTTTTACAGCTTCATTAATTACAAGATTATTATTAAAAGAACACAAAAATATCATCAGGAATTGATAATTATCTATTTTCCTTTCTTTCCACCTTGTTCTGTCTAGTATGTTCTATATGATGATTAGCAAATAGTTGCCATCACCTGTATAATTTGTAACACACCACCTTTGATTATTCAACAGTATCAATTATTGTTTAACATGCTCTTCTTGTTGACGTTTATCAAGTGTTGCTTTCATGTAAGGAAATGTATTACAGAAACCAATGATAAAACAAAATTTAATACATGCTACTCTTAAATTCTTAAAATGAAAACTTCGGTTAATGTCTAGTTATTTTTGAGAAATCAAAATGAAGCATTTGTCTATAGAAAAATGTAGAACATTTTTTGCGTGTACACAATTCGAAAAACGTAGATTCATATTTAACATGCAACTTTATACCTCCACGTGGTAGTTTTTCCGTTTCGAAATTAAGTATTCAATTACTGTACTTTTTGTTTCCCATTAAAATTTAACTTAAATATGTATATTTCTTTCGAGAATTTAAATTCGCGACATCTTTGTTTCAACTCAATCTATTTCGGTCAACTTTTACCTGCTAATTCTTCGTGAAGATATTCTCCCGTTTTCTCGAACATTATAGTTGCTAATTCGTTTAAATTAGCTTGTTCCGAAGCGCATTCTGTACTTTCCATCTTGTATAAAATTCTCTCGCAACAGCTTTCGTTACTCGGCATTACATACAGCGCCCTCTCACCGAAACGACTTTCGAAAATATTTTCACGAAAAAAATAATTTTTCATAAAATTTTATTACGAATTCATTTCTATTTACATTTGAAACAACTTTTTTGGAACACTTACACGATTAATTTCAACAGCATTCGAGATTAAACCTCTCTTACTACTTTCATCGTTAACACCAGTAGGTGGCGTTGCTCCAATCTACGTTGCATCATCGGAATTCATCTTATATCGAATATATATCAATTGCATTAAATATTGGCTCAATCGGAATGGTAGCACTAGATACCATTTTATATTCCAGTAAGTTCTGGAAGACGACGCGAACACATTTATGCAAAAATAACCTTTAAATCTTAAATACATTTCGACATACGGTTTTTATTTTTAAACCGATAGTGAACATCTTTTCCATTTAAAACAATGGTTATTTTTACATTGGTAATTTATTCGAAACTGTGCAAAAACTATTCTACAACTACTCTCTTGCATGTGTATAATTTTTTTTGGTGAATTTTTATATAAATTTGCGTAAAATAAAAAAAAAACGGGAAACAGTGTCTCCCTGAATATCCAGATTGAATAGATATTGAGGGGAAAACTAAATTTCCTATTTCATAATGCAAAATCTAAAATTATCTGACAGTAGAAACCTAGATCAACATTTTTAATTTTGGACAAGTTAATAAACCCTACATCAATTTAAAATATGCAGTGAAAGTAACATTTATCAGTAGTAATGATTTTTAAATGATTTGGAGGTTATTCAAAAACCATCCAAACAATCGACAGTACAAACCATGATGCCACGGACCACAAAACCAATCTCACAATATATTTTTTTAAGCTGAATAGTGTAGAGTATACGTTACAATGGTGTTTCGTCACAATTTTTTTTATCTCCTCATTTATCTGGTTATGTAGAATGTTATCTGTTATATAAACATTGTTCCAGACTTCTCTTCAGAAAAACATGAATAAAAGAAAGTCACAACATAGAAATAAAAAGTTTTTTGACATTTCAAATACTATATACATGAAATTGAATTTGAGATGATGATACAGAAATGTTTATGATAAATGTGGACTTTCACATTTACACACACGCACTGCGAGAACCACAATGACTTAACGATTATATGGATGATATCCGGCTGCTGCACTGGCAGCGGTGCCTCCTCTTCTGGTTTTCCCGTAATTGCTCTGTTGTTGACTGTAGCCGCCGCTTCCGTACCCACTTTGGCCATAGTTCCAGCCGCTGTAGTCGTATCCGTAGCCGGCACCGTATCCGGCTCCATAACCGCTGTAGTCGTAGCCACTGTAGTTACCATAACCGTAGCCTTGGTTGTACCCTCCATAACCTTGGTTGTAACCACTGTATCCTTGTGTTCCCCATCCTCCTTGGCTCTGTCCATAGCCACCTGGAAGCAAAACAAAAACTGTGATATAATATAGGTATCTTACCTAATGAAGAATAGCATAACTTAACTGTATCTGTCACTTCCGTCTTTACGTGACGAGCTGTTTACATAAAATTCAAACCCACCCCTCATAGATCTCGGATCAGGCTTTGGCGTGGCCTTTTTGATGTCACATTCCTTATTTCCAATCTTCTGCTTTGCCTGCTTGCATACTTCTTCAACAGCATCTTCTGATTCGAATGTTATAAAACAGAACTGACGTCTCTGATTTTTCACTTTGTCAAATGGCAATTCAATTGTTTCAATCTGTTTAATATAACAAACATTAAATCTGGAAAACATTTGTAAACACAAATATAAAAATAATTTAATTTACCTTCCCAAATTTTTCAAAATAAGACCTGATATCTGCTTCTGGAATGTCAGCTTCTAATCCTCCTACAAATATTTTTTTAATACCAGGCCTTGCCTTGGCTCTTTTAGGATCAACTTGTTTGCCTTTGACAGTATGTGGTCCATCTTTAAGTACCTGAAAACAATTTATAAATTTTGCACTGTTGAAATTAAGATCATTGAATTCTGAAATTTTATACCAATTAGTTTTTCTTGTAACATTTATTAAATATGATTATAATAAAGTTACAAACAAAAAAACTATTGTACAAATCAAGATCCAATTATAGCTAAGCTTAATATTTTGCAAACTGGAATATATAAACTTCTCAACACAGTCAACCCCCATATAACACGGGTTCCTATAGTTCGGATTCCTATATCACTGCAAAAAAATTGCAACAGTATTCATACAAACATGCTTTAAAAAAAAAAAAAACTCTTATAATTCGGTAAAATGTCATCGCTGACTCGTGTCGCGACAGGATTGGTCAAATCTAGACCAATAGCAGATATTGTACAAACCATTGAGTTTAAACGAGCAGCGGCCCTACTAAAAACCATTTATTATTTAACGTCCATAAAAATTATATTTATATTAATGATGTCTACAAAGTTCAGCAAATTTTTCGCAAAAAGAAGAATTTATCAGGAAGCACACGAGCGCCATTCAATGACAAGCTCCACGACAAAAACAAGCTTAAGCAATGGCATAGCCGAACAGTGCACACTCGGTAAGTAATCCTACAATTTTTTGTTTATAGCATAGTTTATATGGATTATTCCCAAAAAATTATACGTATTTTGGAATGTTGAGTCGAATTAGTGTAGAATCGATTAATTTTATGGAAGAAACCTTTCAAACAGCCATAGTCCGTAAACTGCATACGTGCTGGGCTGTGTTTGGCTGGACTCATAGAAAATGGATTCATAAAAACCGGAACATATCTACCGTGTTATGGGGGGGGTCGACTGTATATATAATCAGACTTATTCTCTAAATGTGAAGAAAAATGCTAATCATACTTCTAAAACTGCACAATGGGAAAATAACTACCAATAATTTTAACACTATCTTCAATTGTTCAAAAAGTAGTCATGGTGAAATTATTCTCTTATCAATTAATAACTAAAATACCAATATTTATTGAACTGTCAAGATGCCATGTGTCTTTACATAAGTTGGCAAATTATAAACACATTCATTTTAGTTTAAGGTAAACAGATTTAAATATTAAATCAGAACATTTTTAACAAATTTGCCTATTATTTATAATCAAATGTTCATCATCATTATTATACTAAATATTAACTTAACAGTTCTTAAAGTTTTAAATTTAGATTTTCCTTAAGTGTATTATAAAATGCCAAAAATTTAAGACAGATCAATCTTTTTTCTTGCTATAGCAAGTAAAAAGATTGATGACATTTCCTAAAAATATTTAGCAGGACAGAACATTGGATTCTTCTAGAAAATTTTATTCTATAAATTCTTTAAGGAGTCCACATATATAAAAAAGATTTATCAACTATTTTATATAATATATCAATTTTCACAAAGAAATATTGGCAGATAGTATACATTTTACATTAAAACTTCAGATAATAGAATATTTTGATTCTGAAAATATAATACAGATGATGCCAAAATTTTAAGTTTTAAATAAATAACTAATTTATAATTTTTTAATTAAAAAAAAAATTCACTTAGAAAGCTCAAATTAGTTTTTTCATTTAATGATAATTTTCTTAATCTTCCATATCTACTATAAACCATTATCCAAAAAGTTTAAAGTTTAAGCCAGATTTAGTTTTCTTCAATTATTAGATTATTCAGAAACAAATTAAATCAGTATTCAGCTTATGATTTAAGTTAGAATGTATTTAATTTACATTATATGTAAATCATATTTCAATCATAATATTAAATACTTAATTTCTTACATTATGGTTGTCAGTCTTAATTTTTATATTTTGTTTAATAAAACTTAGTCTTGATCTTGTCAAGCAAGTGCACAAAGTATGAATGTATTAAGACTTTCTAAGCTGTTAAATCAGCTATTAGTGAAAATCATTTATTCTTGCAATAAAATACATACAATGTGTGTTCAAATTCACAGTTAACTTAGAAGAATTCTTATAATTGTAATGAACTTTAACAATAATCTTTTATGTAAACTATATAATTTAATTATAGTTTTCAGATATATTGTTTAATTAGAAATATGAAGTTTTGTTAGTATATAAATATACTTTTAAAAAACTTACAGCTTCAACAGCATCTTGTGTACTGAAGGTTATAAATCCAAATCCTCTACATTTTCCAGTATTAGGATCAGTTTTAATATTAACATCAGTTACTTCACCAAATTTACCAAAATATTCCTTAAGATCCTCTGAAAAATTAATACAAAGCAAAAGTTTTACAAACTGATCTCAAAATTTTATCTTTAGCTTTTAGTAAAGTATATCTAAGAATTAACATTTGTAAAACTGTTGTGATGTGCTTTTCTGATTCAAGATCCTCCTCTTCCACATATTTATATCTATAATCATGTCTTTAATTAATATTAAATAATCATGTAAACTCATATCGTGATTTAGGGATCATTTTTGACAATAGATTGACCTTTAAAGGTCATAGAAAAAATTGCTAAATCTATCACAATATGTTGAGGAATTTTATGGCATTTTTGTAGGCCAATATCCTCAAAAACTACTAAGGTCAATTTTCATTACAAACTTTCAGTCTTTAGTCAACTATTGCTTATCAATTTGAACAATGACTGCCCCTTCCATACTAAACAAAGTTATTAATGAAATAAACAAAGTACATTTCCTTCCAAACAAATTTTGCCATCTACCATATACTTTTAATGCTGAAAACATCCTAAGACTGGACATTTTGATGTTTAGGATTAGGATGCTAATCCTAAACATTTCAAGAGTCAGACTGAGATTACATGATTTCAAAGAAAGGGTCAAATAATTCATCATATTTTAACTTATAAATATTTTAATGGCATAATACCCAATTATTGGCTCAAACTGAATGATTGAGTTTTCCTTCCAGGAAAACTCAATCATTATCAAATCATTATCATGTCTACATACTCCTTTTTATTGATTATTGCTATATCATATCTTTCTTTTATCGTTCCATTGATTACATGTCTCCTGTTGAACATCACCTTCATCATGACTTTACCAAATACAAACATTTATGCCAACAATTTCTATATAATGTGTGATTTTGTTTTGTCCTTAATCATTTCGCCTTCTCTTTTTATATATATATTTCTAGTTATTATATAATTTTTATTGTTTTTATTTTTGTTCTTAATTTTAATAGTATTTTATCATAATCTTGGGTAATTTTTATATGCGAGAGTTGAAATCTACTGTCCACCGATAGTTCCAATTAAATGTAAAATAAAATAATAAAGTAAAAGAATGTTCAAGCACACAATTTCAATTTCAGATAGTTATTTTTTAAATTTACTTACTCGATTCGGTATCCCAGCTGATTCCTCCAACAAACAGTTTTCTGAAAATACATACTTGATCTTATTTGTAGTATTCAAGACAAGACTTCACTACATACTAAGCCCTACGGTTCCACTTTACTTACGTTACCAATTATAATAATCAAACAATTTATAATGAAATGACACCATTTAATACTAAGATGACCTCTTAAAAATTATTAAGATGACCACTGAAAATTAAAATATCTTGGGAGAAAAATCTTATTAGTATAACGAAGCGATCACTGAAAACCCAATAACATTAATTAATTAAAGCAGGGATAGCTTTTAAATTTAGGAATAAAAATTTATCTCCATTATTTTTATGTACTACGGTTAATAAGTAGTACACTATGGTCACAAAAATCCCCTCACATGTATTTTTGCTTTCAGCTTGACGGAGATCCTATGGGGGAGAGCATGATCGGAAAACCTGTTGGAAATAAAGTCAAGATTAGACATTGCATTACATCTAGACTTATTAACAGGACTAATGATAGGATTTAGTCCGCTTCCACTATGGTAATTATGTCATTATTCGACTTGACATTATCAGCTTACGGCGGAGAACATGCTGCACTGATTCCGGAGGCCTATATCTGCAAAAATCATTAATGTAGAAGTTAATCGGCAAAAAAATTTACTTTATCCTTGGTGTTTAACGGTTAATTTTAATTTAAACTTCAGTCAGTTACCTTTAATGCACAATGGCCTCTGAAATTTAAATAAACAAAGTGTATGACATAGCATACTTTGCAGCCAAACAAACTCCAGCCAATAGTCTTTACTACATTAAATCTTATATCTTTAGCTTTAAGAGACTACATTTACCTTAAACTAACTTACTTCACTACCCAACCAACTGTTTGTTTTAAAAAAAACTTGTTTACTGCTTGTGCAAACTATTAAAAATGCTTCATAATTAAAAAACTATAGAAAAAGTTAAGCAAAACCATTGAAATACTATAAAATTATTTCATCAAATTTGAAATCAAAATATGTTAAAAAGCAAACTATATATAATTCATCTCCAACAGTTATAATTACTTGAAAAATTATACTAAATAATTCCAACTCAAAAGAAGTGTAAATGTATTTAGATTTATACTACTTTTGATTAAACTCACTGTTAAAAATTAATTTTTACTGTTAAAATAAACTTTCATCTGTAAAGTTTACAGAAGGAAGTTACATCTATCAAGAGACATTAGTCCATAGTTTTGAAATAATTGACATTTACCTGTTACTCTGCTTATTTAATTGCAAGTAATACTAAATTATAATTCAGTTATTTTTTCAAATCATTGCTATATTTGAATTATACACAATTACCCATATCCTCTAAATTTAATTACAAAAACAAACAATACAGCCTTGTCCCATACATTGCATATTACTAAATTGCTTTTTTCTTGCAGCTGAGCATCATTTCATACAGCAACAATATTTTAAAAAATGGCATTACTTGCATATAATAATTCAAAGGATAGCAAAAAAGTAAATTTTGAATGTAATGAACTAAAATTTTTAATTTTGTCAATGCTTTATATGATATTAAATAAAAAACAAAACTAATTACAAAGTTTAAAGTTATCTGTGACCAATTTCAACGAACAGATATATATGATATATTTAAAATAATGATGCAGCACACTGAATATCTTAAAGATAACAGATTAAAATTATAAAATAATTCTATGTAATTTTTTAAGTACTTTATTGAATAAAGATTTAATGAATTATATTAAAATTTTAGATATAAATCTATACAAATTATACTGTTTAATTAATTCAAACAAATTTAAATAGTACCAACAACATGCAATAATAAAATACACAATTCACTACAGTATAGCAATTTTAATATTACAGTAGAACCTCGAAAACTCGGCCTAATGCGGACCGAAGGGTGGCAGAGTTTGTGAAAATGCCGGATTATCGGGAATGGGGTTAAAAAAGGATAAAGTATGCGTGTTTCCTCAGAAAATATTGTACTGTACTTGTATGTATTGTTTGCTTGAGAATACAACAGAGAATAAACTGCCCAAATACCATTAAACAAAGGAAAAGCACGTCCTTTATGAAGGCATAGAGCCTTTACTACATGAAAATGAAAATTAATGAATACACTGTGTACAGTAATTTACCTGATAAGACAGACCTCAGAAAAATACTTTATGAGGCATAAAGCTGTCTATAATGAAAATTAATTAACTAAGGATTTTTTGCCCTGCCAGGGTGTGGCCGAGTTATCCGGAGTGCCGAGTTTTCGAGGCTCTACTGTACTTGCAAAACTCTAGCAATATTGGAAAACCAAATTTCAATAGAATAAGTTATCCCAAACCAATTTTAGCTACTCAGATTGTCAAGCATTTCTTTTGATTAGTTAAAAAATGTTAATTTTATTTTGCAGTTTTAAAGATAATCATATTGTGAAAAAGTATACAATTTAAGTGTTTACAGTAAGAGTATTTTTTTGCCAACTAATGTTTGTAAGGAAATCTGCAGCAAGAGCTAGACAATATTGGAGATTGACCATTAAAATTTTTTACTGGGAAGGATATTATAAAAATGATTAATACATGTTATATTCATCTAGGCAAGCCATAAATCTCGTGAGTAAATCCCAGACCATTAAACTAATATATGTATTACACACACAACTTTTCAATTGCCAAGCTGAATAGCACACTTTAAGATAGTTTAAGCACTAAATACTACACACTCACTAATAAAATAAAATAACTTATTGGAATATTAATACTTAAAATAATCAAACACCTTAGTATTTCCAGCAACGAAGTATTTAATAAAATACTTTGTCGCTGGAAATACTAAGGTGTTTGATTATTTTAACGACACTAATAACCACCATCCTACAAGATTTAAATACTTCTCAGCTTTATGATCCAAAAATCTTTAAGCTTCTCTTTAAATGATCCAAATGGCATCTTACAAATGCAAAAAAAACAATCATGCCTCTTATGTATGTATTGATGATAATTTTGGAACACCAGAGACCCTGGTCAATTATAAATCCTAAACTTATCAGCTTAATCCCAGACACATGAAAAACCTAATTCATCATATTTAAATAGAAATCTTTTTTGCACTCATGTTTTATTTCTGAATTAGCAAGAATTCACTAGAATTCTCAAAATAAAAATTCAGTTTTATCCATCTGATTTGATAATTTATGGCAACAACACATTCTGCTAAGGAGGATGACTCTTAGAACTTTGTGGGGAACTGGCCTCACTCTAGATTTTTGAAACAAAATATTCCATGTGGCCAGCCCATTGTCATGCATAAAGCGGCTTTATTCACTTTGCCACTTTTGGGTTTCATAAAAAATATCAGCATTTAATTTTTCTTAAAACATTTGTTAAAGCGAAAAAAATTAATTTTAATACTAAACTGAGTTGAATTTCTATAATATTCTAATACTAAAAAATGCATACCAATTTTAGCATCATTTTCAAAATTATCTTGATTCTTATGTATCAAAAATTAAATAAATCATATTAAAAAATTATTAATCTTCAAATCATGTAACAGCTATCATTTAACTGATTTTAAATAATTTTTCATAAAACTGTCACAATAAGTAGTCTCAGAACTTTGAATTTATTAAGCATTTTAAACGACAAAAAAGCAAAATACAGTAGAACCTCCATTATCTGGATTTTCGATTATCCGGATTGTCCAAAATAAACAAAAATTTTACGAATTTGCTGATTTGCACTTGGCGAATTACGACACTGTTTATGTACATGATGGAATGCATAACTTTTTTTGTTTCAACAACGTCTCACCCAGCACAGTGGTCGTAAACTCTTAAATATATTTTACGTCGTAATAAAAATATAACTTGACAAACGTATTTATAAATAATTTATATTCAAATTAAATCATTTCTATGACCAAGGGCGGCGTAAGGCATGGACGACGTGGGCCACCGCCTATGCCTCGCGGTCCGAAGGGCCTCGCGTTTCGAAGGTTTATGCATTACTTAAAAGCCGCGAACGCGACGAAAATATTTTACTCGTCATAAAATGATAGTTTGTCAAATTTTTATTCATAAAAATGCAGTTTCAACTGCTTTTTATTTTATAAAATCCTTATTCTTGAGCCGCCAGAGGGCCTTTTAAACAATAGGTAGTCTGTTAGCGTTGGTCAGTAGTAGTACAAATTCAATACGAACGTTTGTTTCTTGAAAATCTGATCACGATTTAAATACAGTATTTACTTTTAATATTACCGATATGTCATCGAAAAGAAAACGTATTGTATTATCATTAAAAGACAAATTAAAGTATTTTTTCGATTATCCGGATTTTTCCTTATCGGACTACCTTCATCCCCAATTAGTCCGGATAATAGAGGTTCTACTGTATTTGAACACTATCCTTCATGACATGTTCAATAACTTAAATAATGGCTTATATAATCAAATTTCAAAATTATTAATTATTGCATCATTATAATAGTGAGACAGATAGCAAAACATTTAAGATAAGAGATGATTATTACAGCTTAAAGTATGGATTATACACAAAATAAGAATACTTGTGTGTTTGAAAAATAACTTGAAATGAATGCAAGTTATGAAAAGAAGGGTGGATTATACACCAATTACAAATTGTAAATTACCAATGGCTGCTTTAATAGACTTGGTATAAATGATGGGGTAAGTGATGAGATTTTCATTCTAGCATTTTCTGCAAGCTGGCTGGTTAGATTTGAGGTGTATCGTACTGGTACAAGGGAGGACCTCAGTAAAACAAAGGAATACAGTACGTCTATTAATCCTTAACAATTATAACTTACTGATTAACTGACATCTTAAATGTTTTGGGTAATATTCATAAAGATGCTTGTTACATAACACACACAATCAATTCACCACAATTAAAAATAATTTTTCCTTTTGAAATCAATTAAGTGCTTAACCCTTTTTAAATGCTATACATTATGCATATATTTCCAACAGGAAATTTTTGTATTTACCAAGTACTTA